CAGTACGGCTTGGAGAATTTCTTTTATTTCAGAATCACTAATACAAATTAAATTAGTTTATTTTTGTCCTTGCTTATAGAAAGGGTTGGCAGAAGTTCGCCACTTTTGTTCCAACAGAGAGTGAAATGTGTACTTATCTATGAGTGTTAAGTGAAGTGGACGTAAGTGAAGAACGAATGCACTGAGAACCCCTTGCGCTACTCATAAGCTGAGAGAGATAAGACAGAACTGCACGTTTCATCTTTAAAAGACTAATCTTTTAAAGACTAAATACCCAAACGATCTTCCAATTCATTCATCTATTAAACCTTTGACAAAATCACATTGCAACCTTCAAATTGGTGTTGGCACTGCCGCGGACCCAGAGAGTTGTCATGAAAGTGCTTCACAAACAGTATTTCAACCTCAAAATATAATTATTTCTGTGATACAATAGTTCTAATTATCATAAAAAGTACTACAGAGATAAGTTTAAAGTTCAAATATAAATGGCAGCGATCAAAATAAGGTAAACCAGCTTTTGATAAAAACTTGCCACCCAAAATAATAACATTGTTTCGCCACTAGGTGGTAACAAGCGACTTAAATGTATTTGTTATTGAATCATTTATTCATGAGAATGTAGTACTGTACTATGCTTCTGAAATATAACTCAGCAAATTGATGAATTGTTTTTTTGTAAATATAACCACAAAACCAGATTAACTGGATCAGGGGCCTGTTCTTTAAACATGCACACCCCCGTTATCTAGATTTTACGGTTGATTTGTCATAATCCAGGATTGATTCTTGTTCTTACAAGAGTACCTGATTGAACAAGGGACAGAAATCATTTCAAATAACTTAAGTTCATTTGAAGATAATATGATGTGTAGTCTACCAAACTGTAGACAAAGCTAGTTTTACCAATTTATTCAAGAGGGAATTACCAAATTATAATATTATACAAGTCTTACACACAATGTTGTTTTAGTCTGAGGCATGCATGAATTTGAAAAGCGACAGCTATTTTATGTAAGTGGCTTGTCCATAAACTGTTGAATGCCATTTTCAAAATATAAGTTAAAAAATAAGGTATCAGTGGTCACATTTGTGATAAACCACAGCCCCATATTGAATAAAGTACCTGATTCATTTGCATTAAGATATAAAGGTTTTTAAAAGTGTTTTAAGATTGTAAGGTGTAAAAGTATTGAATGCATATTTTATTGGTTTAAAAACCGAATGTAATTAACTGTTGCCTGGTTGTAAAAAACATAACAAAAAACACATAACTCCAATGCCACATGTGTTTTTAGGGTTCTTTGTTACAACTAATATCAAGTAACTATGTTACTTGTATCTAAGCATGCATCTATGCATACTTTATAGTTGTTACTATAGTACCTGCATGTAACAATGAAACCGTAAAAAAAGTAAAACACTATTTTGTACTTCCTAGTCACTACACTATGTACTTCACGTCGTAACAGTAAATTTATAATTACATGCAACTAACCCTCAACTAAACCCTACCCCTATAATAAGTACATGTTGTTAATATTACTCGGCACTTACACAAACAATGACACCTTAAAATAAAGGTGTCCAAATAAAGTGTTACCCAATAAAGTTTGTCACAATGGATTACAACATGGAACTGGGATTAAATGTGTTAACCAATTATAATATACACAAAAATTCGCCTTATATTTTCCCATGAATTTGAAAACACTCGTTTTTAAAATATTTACGATCATTTTAACCGTTTTCCTGATTAATACATCATCATTGTGTCTCTCTCGAGGCGGTTCTCACGCTTATCTCTGCACTCGCTACCAGGAACAAGTCTTCTAATTTGCTTAAGTTACAAACAGTTAAGTAACTAATTGTGAAAACAAGCGAACGCTTAAAACCCTTAATTAGTTCTAACTTGTAGTTTTAGAGTATCATTACCTTAAACTGAACTTGTGGCTCGTTCTCTGCCATGGCTGTTTGTGTGTGTTGGTCTTTGTGCTGCAGTCACTCTGCGGGAGAGATGGCGGGACGGTTAGTCACATCATACAAAAGGCCGCAACAATCACAAATAAACAACAGTTACACAAAATTAACGAAAATAACAATTTTATCACGCACAGTATATCCAAAAAGCGTACAAAACTCAAAACAAACAACTGCGTTCATAAATGAACAACTACCGCGTCTGAATAAAAGGATGCGCGCGAACACACGAGGCCGCTGCTACTGGAGCCTAAACTTCAGTCGCAGCTCGAAGGCCTCAAACAGGCCCGTCAAATTGGAAATGAATAAATAGCGCATTAAAGATTGTGAAAATTAACAACAATCGGTTAAATTCACAAGAGAACGGAACGAAGCAAGTGTTGTACACACGACTTCAGCAGCTCGCCAGCATCGCGCGCTGCCAACAACTCACGATGGCGCTACGACACAGATGAGCCATGATGAAACAATCATAACTCCACATCGGCGGCGAATAAACGCGATCTGGTCGACTTTAGATCACCTTAGCACACGTATAAAGACTTTCGGGTGTGTTGTGTTTTCGGCGAAAAACAAAAACGTCTCATTGAAATGAGTTAGTGATGAGAAGAGCAGCGTCGTTCCGCACTCACCGGTGGTGAAGTGATCGAGGAAGAGAGCAAATGGCTGCGCCCGCGCGGGATTCAGCGTGGCTCACATAAACGCTTCCGCCCCTACCACGTGACCCTCTGCTGCCGCGCGACAACTGCGCCTCCTAGCGAGACTCTTTTTTATTACAGAACTTATACAAAATTACCAACACAGGGAAGTAAAGCAAGGTGTACAAACAAACAGACAAACAATGGTACCTTACAGAAAATAAACATCCTGGGTATGCATACATCAAGTTATTTAATATATATAAAAAGAAAAGCATAATTTTAAGGCCAAGTAGGCCTAATGTCTTTGAATAAATCATCAAAATACATCAAAAATTGTTGATTTTTGTCATTTATAAGTCTAAGGGACGAAATAAAAGAGTCAAAATCAGCAAGAAAAAGAGGAAAGCTCAAAGGAGATTTAAGACATTTTTGCTTATGGATGAAGAATTTTGCATGTAAGATAAAGAAGTTAACAACATACTCAAGGGGAAGCAACTTTGGCTCCTAGTGAAACTCAAGTTGGGATAGTTTTTTTCTCCCCCGTTGAGACTTGGAAGTTTAAAAAAAAAATGACGTTTTTGGTTTGCTATTGGTCGATCTGATGTGAGTGACAGGTTGTCCCCGCCCTCGCGCCCGTATGACATGTCAACAGAAGAGAAGATGCTCAAGCCTACTCTCTTGAGTACTTATTTTGAAGTAACTACTTCACAACCGCCATGTTCTATGTAGTATAAATGCATGTAGTAGCCTATAATAGGGACATATGCCTACTACATTCGTCATTATCATGTGACCTACCAGCATCACTTACATCCTGGTTACATCGCTTCACAAATCCTCTCCCATGGCCTCATGGGACAGTAAAGTGTCCATATGCACACTTCAGAACCTCTTCTTTTATGAGTAGGGCTACTGTGAATTCTGACATACCGTTTTGTTACATAGGCCTTTATGATTAAAGATTACGAGGACATCAAAATAATGCATGATACATCATGTATAATAAATACTGCAATATTCCATACATTTGATGAGACATTAAAACAGATCATATACACAAATGGTGGCTGATTTAATGAAATACCTCAGTTACAGAGTAAACAAACATTAGGCTACACACACACAGAGTGTGCCTATTATATAACAGAGAGAGCATTGTTTTTTGTTGTTGTTTCAACACTGTGGGACACAGACACAAAAACAGTGAACTGTAGCATTGGATTCGGTCTTTTGGTTATTGATATTGAAATAAACTTGAGAAATAAGGTAGGTAGCTATATACAATAAGATATTTTATGAAATATTCAATGTGTGACATGAACAATAATATAGGTGAAAGACCAGAATAAATATAGGCCTATGTGAAATATATGTTAAAATTGCATAGTATATGTGTGTGTGCCTGTGTGTGTACAGTTTATACAACAATGTAAGTTGGATATTATACAGTTACTATTAAAGTAAAATAGCTGACAATAATTTGTAATTAGAATGTGGTAAATAGTTAAATTATTAGCATTATTAAGAAATGCACCATAATAAACAAATGTTATGTGAATGTATAAACATGCTTAACATGTGAACCTGACAAAAACGTAGCAAGTTTGAATACACTGATCTAATTGCTCTGTTACTAATCTGACAGAGTGCCCAATAAGACACTCAACATCATGTTTTTTTTGTAATTAAAAAATCACAGGCTGATTTGAACTACATATCGTGCCCTGAACCCTCTTCAGCATCTCCCTAAATACCCAGACCGAGGCAGAAACCTCTTTTCAACATGAGTTCACAATGGGAATTTGCATTAATCACGATTCACCGTCCCAGACTGACTTACTGGAGACAGAAGTTGATTTACATGGGGGTACAGTGCATATACCCACAGCAGTTAACAAGATAACTGCTGCTTTTGGTTTACTTCTGTGGGAATTTAATATGTGTACCAGTCGCACTGAGACATTTCAAATGATACCAAACATATATAATACTGCATGATAATTGTTTACATTAAACAATGTCGATTTTTGGGTGAATTCAGGTAGGAGGAAGGAAGGAACGGTGGAGGGGGGGTCAAGGGAAGGAGATGTAGATTAGGATGACGCTGAGGTGAGACTTCTCGAATGCTGATGCTAATTTCACAAGAGAGAGTTCAAATGTTCATATCCTGAAACATCCTTTGTCTTCTCTGGAAGTGCTCTTCCTCAACCAGACAAGTGAAAAAGTTGTAATACACTAATCGATTTGGGATTTTATATTACATTATACTATAAATAATATAGTATAGCAATATATAAGTAACAATAATACACTTTATAAATAAAATATAAATAGCTGACAGCAATAATATGCATAATGCAAATGTGGTAAATGGTTACATTATTAGCATTAAGATAACAAAAGAAATACACCATTTATAGTTTGTTCTTTTATTTACATCATTAAATCCCTTTATCAGAGAATAAGCAAATATGTGAATTTCCTGTAAACATTCGCAAACAACTGCTGCGTAATATCTACCCCTGAGAAAAACCTATTATGTGTGAATGCACTTCTTTAAAATGAACAGATAGATGAACGTTCATTGTTCATCATGTTTTGTGCGTTTAGACAGCAACTATATGAAGACTTATAGTGGTTCTATACAAAGTGTAATTTTTAGTTTCAGTAGATGATGCGGGTCACTAATGAACTGATGTCATCTCCTGTTCGTGTTTCTGTCAGCAGGATGTTATCTGTTCATCTGTACAGGTAATCCGCCTGAATGTTAGCAGCAATCTCAGCCTCTCATCGGTCTCCATTATTCAGCAGCTTCTCTTTATTATACAGCAGTTCTTCATGAGTCTCAGTCACGTACTCAAAATTAGGGCCCTGCCACATGAAGAAAGGTAAAATGTTTGTGTTAGTGTATCATATAAACTGTCTTGGACTTAATAACCCTTAGTGATCAATTATCTGTATCTCAGTGTAACATCGTGTCTACACCTGACGAAATGAAGCAACCGAAGTCAATTTATCCTTCACGTCTGAAGTAGCACGAGTGTTTGGAGTGTGTCAGGAATAAAACCGAGCATCAGTTTACCATGTAATATATGTGTGTACCTCTACGATTGCGTCCACAGGACAGGCTTCCTGACAGAATCCACAGTAGATGCATTTGGTCATGTCAATGTCATAGCGAGTTGTTCTTCGGCTGCCGTCTGCACGGGTCTCTGCCTCTATCGTGATGGCCTACAGGAGACAAAAGCACTGCTAACACACAGCCGGTACTGGTTATCACAGATGAGGAACATGCATGTGTGTGTGTGTGTGTACCTGAGCAGGACAGACAGCCTCACACAGTTTGCAGGCAATGCAGCGCTCCTCTCCGCTGGGATACCTGCGCAGCGCATGCTCGCCACGGAAGCGGGGAGAGAGAGGGCCTTTCTCAAATGGGTAATTGATAGTAGCTGGTTCTCTAAACAAATAACTCATGGTCATGCCCAATCCTGCCATACAGACACAGAATATAATAATCATTTTATTATTATTATTATCATTATTATGTATTTGAATAACACAACTGCAAAAAAGTACCATATTTAAGGAAGAAAAAAAATGAAAGTCCCCCTATTATGCAAATTTAAAGGTTCCTAATTTTGTTTTGCGGGTCTCCTACAGTAGGTTTACAATAAACACTTTCATCAGTAGCATCAGTTCTTTTCTCACAGTGTCTAAAGGATTCAGTCTCTCCAAACCCATCCTTTCCAAGAGTCTACTCTGCTTTGACTGGTCAGATGGTCCATTCTGTTATGGGTCTACTCTGCTCTGATTGGTCAGATGGTTCAGTCTGTTGTGATTGGTCTACTCTGCTCTGATTGGTCAGATGGTCCATTCTGTTATGGGTCTACTCTGCTCTGATTGGTCAGATGGTTCAATCTGTTGTGATTGGTCTACTCTGCTCTGATTGGTCAGATGGTCCAGTCTGTTGTGATTGGTCTACTCTGCTCTGATTGGTCAGATGGTTCAGTCTGTTGTGATTGGTCTACTCTGCTCTGATTGGTCAGATGGTCCAGTCTGTTGATTTTGGTCTGCTCTGATTGGTCAGATGGTCCAGTCTGTTGTGATTGGCCTACTCTGCTCTGATTGGTCAGATGGTCCAGTCTGCTGTGATTGGTCAACTCTGCTCTGATTGGTCAGATGGTCGAGTCTGTTGTGATTGGTCTACTCTGCTCTGATTGGTCAGATGGTCCAGTCTGCTGTGATTGGTCAACTCTGCTCTGATTGGTCAGATGGTCCAGTCTGTTGTGATTGGTCTACTCTGCTCTGATTGGTCAGATGGTCCAGTCTGTTTTAATTGATCTACTCTGCTCTGATTGGTCAGATGGTCCAGTCTGTTGTAATTGGTCTACTCTGCTCTGATTGGTCAGATGGTCCAGTCTGTTGTGATTGGTCTAATGCTTACAGTGCATGTTGGAAACAAAATACCTATTACCATATTTGAATGATTAGTTCTGGATCTTCCTCAGCACTTGAATACACATTGATATAAACAGTAACGATGTCGTCGTTTTTTCTGTATCAATTAGAGCGCAAGTCTGCAACTAACGATAATCCATTAATCTGTTGATCATTCCTTCACATAATCTGATAAAAAGGAGGATTTTATTCTACATTTTCCTTATAGAAAACAAATTGTATTCCACTTCTAGCTCCAAGCACTGAACGTTTTTCAAGCAAATAAAATATGTATGTACTGTATGTACAGTATGTGTTGTACATGTGGTGCTGCATGAAGAAAATTGTCATCATCTACTACTATCAATCATCTTAATCATGTTGTTATTTTTATTTATTTATTTAGTTTTTTTTATTGTGCAAGTTCTATATAAAGTTTCCTATTTTTACTATTTTCATTACCTTATGAAGACTGATCTGCATTTTGATGTTTGACCATTGTCTTTCACTAACAGATATTTTGGGTCTATTGACCTTTTCCTCTTCACACTAATAATTACTAATAATTAAATATCCCTGCTTGTCTGTTTAATCCACTAGCTGTTGTGTGAGTCAAGGTCTGTCCTGTGAACTTACACATATACTTTTATTGTATTATAGTATACTGACAATTATTCTGGCTGCAAGTATACTTGGCATACGGTTTTCCACTAGGGTAGAAAGTTACTCCAACCCCTGCTTAATATTCATGACATCAGCAATCAAAAGTTATGCTAAAGATACTTTATGGGTAAGTTCTTATATATTATAGTCACAAATCACAACTTAAAAACGTCAAGAAATCATTTGACCTCAACCTATACAATTTCCAATCAAGTACTATTTGAACCAGAGTAAATTTCCCACTTATACTGAAGACCATAAGTCGCTGGTTCTGTAAGTGTTAAATAAGGGCTGCTGTTGAATTACACAGGAAGATGGGCCTCCAGGAGCAGGGCCTGACTCCCCGAGTTGTGTTTGTGGCATAAAAAACATTTGTAAATATATATTTTTATTAGTAAATCTCATTTAATTTATTTTGTGAGTTTTATATATTTTTGTGAAACTCTTTACATTTATTTGTGGATCTTAATATTTATTTGTGAATTTAATATATATTTGTGAATCTCTTCACATTTATTTGTGGATAATAATCTATTTATTTGGAATAAAGCAACAATTCTACCTCCATAATCTATCTGTTGACGCTATGTATTCTGCAAGCCTATCCACAAGGATCCATTCCAGTACCTTAGATAATGTACTTGCAAGTGCAATAGGTCTAGTAATCTATAATTTACCAGTCTTAATTTTAACTACAGGTACTAGCTAGATAGATAACATTGATCCAGGAAGTATACTTCATTAACCCAGAAAAGCATAGAGCAAGTAAAACTGAAATACTTTGACTAGCGTATTTGCTGTTATTCGATCTTGCCCACAGGCTTTGTTCATTTTAAGTTTGTCAATAGCATAACATACTTCCTCCGGCATGATCACACCATCACTGTGACCCTTACGAAAAAGAAGTATATTTCAAGTTCATTTTATGTAGTATACTTAAGTAATGTTCAAGTATATTTTTAAGTATACATTATGTAGTAAGTATACTAATGTCACTATGTAGTAAACTTGTAAGTGTACTATTTTAATACCGCTTGGGACTAAATTGGCCCACTTTTAGTACATAAAAGTATATGCTTAAGTGTAACAGTAAGTGCACAACTAGTTCATAATTATGTATCTCATGTGCACTGCAAGTGAATTTATGGGTATACTAGTAGTTTACTTTTTTACTGTAATACTTATACAAGTATACTTTGAATAGTTAATTATACTTTTAAGTATTTCTTTATCAAAAGATTGAGTACAAGAACAGGACAAATATACTTGCTTTTCTCTCAGTATAAGTCAAGTACACTTAAGTGTAATTTGAAGTATATTTCTGAGAAGTACATATAGTATACTTCTGAGAAGTACAGGAAAAATAAACTGAAAGTATACTTTCTTATTTTTAGTTTAAAAGAAGTATACTAATGGCACACTTGAATAAACTTCGTTTTCCTAAGGGGAGGTATCTCTCCTATGTTAAACTCATCGCTCTTCACATCACACAGTTAAAAATGTTCTCCTAGTGTCTCCTCCATAGCTCTGCAATGTTTTCAGGTTCAATAATGCCATCAATACAAGAAGGCAGTGGCATTTTGCTGTTGTTAACCACTTTCAGAACTCTTTCGATTGCAACCTTCTCGCCATAGAGTTCACCCTTATAGTCTGCTCGTTTCTTTTTATAAAACGCAAAGCATATTTAAATCTGTAGTATTAGACCGTCCCTTGTGCTCACCGACTGGGCCATGCTTTGCCTGCTAAGACCCATCTTCTAAATGCATCGCTTGCCTCCATATGAACTTAGTCATTCCACCCTGGTCAATATGTCGTTTCACCACTTTACTTCTTAGTGGTTCACTTCTATCAACTAAACAGTTCACAAATCCATTCTATATTACATATAGGTCATTATTGTGACTTACATTCTTAGCTGCTATCCACACACATAATCTCAAGTGCACATCAGTCAGTAACTCGTAATATTGCAGGTCGTCTTGTGAGCCTTGTCCCGTCCAGTATCTCACCTGATTTACTAGCTGCCACTATAGACCCTTAATATTTATGAACATAGAGACAAGAATATGGTCTGCTGTGGCCAAACAATAGGATCTCAGCCTCTTTTATACAATCATGTGCTTCAGCTGTAGATATACAATGGTCCAACAAGGATGTAGTATGATACCCCAAGACAAATATAATTGTATATTCACTTTCCCTTATGTAAGACCCTAAGCAAGCTTATTCAAGTAGGCCTACTCATTTTCATTTTTTGTGACATCCATACATTATTATGCACCACTTTGATGCAGCAGTCCACATCTAACCTGATCACAGTGCCAGAAAATGGCCACTCCTCCTGGGATCCTACCACGCAAAGTTCTGGTGTTTAGGTCTGTCATGGATTCTCCCCTGCCCCATGGAAATCATTATTTACAGTGTTGAGTTCATCCAGATCTTGAATAGCTAAAAAATCTCTTGCAAACACACCACAGCATTCTCAAAGAGCTTGACAATAACAATGCGTTGGGCTCTCGCTCCAGCGTCCTGTCCAAGCTGCAGGCCGAGGGAGTTAAAAAACGCAACTCTCATAGCAGCAGTTTATCATTGTTGCATGGGACCCCTTGGCTCAGGCGCACTCATCTCTGTGTCAAGTGGTGCTTTAATACCTGCCCCTACCGCAGCCGCGATTCTCACAGAAGCGGCTTACATCCCTTCTGGCCACAGCTGCGGCGCATACATCTCTGCTACTTCCTTGCATTCATCTGTAACTTTGAAAGAGCTGTAGCGAGTAGAGCCAATCTTCTGACAAGTCACATCTCTGGAAAGTTGTCCTTTTAAATAACTAGCCTCTGAGTCTCTGGATCTAAGTAAGGGGCAAGCTTTGTCACAAACACACTCACCAGCTCAGTTGTCACTGCATGCATGTTCTCCACTTCACCAGTTTCTTCATGCTAGTGTTGTTCTGCACTGCAGTTGTAGATCGTTTTCCAAAACGCGGCTCCATAAGGGGACATCGCCACCTCAATCCCCCCCGCCAGCTCTCTCCTCAATGACGGGCAACGGTCCGGTGCAGCCTCCCTGTGACAAGGGCTATGATTGTGGCTGCATTCCCCTTGCTGGCACTGGGTTGCTCAATCACACTCAGTCGTTTGCTAATGTCTGTTGTTATTCCATGAAGGTTCTCACATTCAGTTGACTGCTTAATTTCATGTTCAATTTTACTAACCAGTATTGTATTTATTTGACCTTTTTTTTTTTGTTAATGTTATTGGTTACAGTCATTAGGCTTCTGATTGGTCAATACAGCTTTTTAAAAAACCTCTTCAAATAACAAACAGGCATTATCATTGTTAAACACACTCTGCGATTAATCTAAGCAAAAATATTAGAGAAATAGCACAACAAATAGAAATATATAAAAACAAATGATTTTGATTAAATGAAACTTAAAGTCACCATGAAATCAAAATGGATGATAGGCTAGGCTACTTGTTTTTATGGAATATTATATATTTTCTTATCTCTGCATATCTTTACATTTTTTATTTAGGCACATGTGGCCTACTAATGCCTCTCTCTTGCAGTGACATCTCTTCTCTTCTCTTCTCTTCTCTTCTCTTCTCTTCTCTTCTCTTCTCTTCTCTTCTCTTCTCTTCTCTTCTCTTCTCTTCTAACTGCCGTGAGGGCGGGGCAACCTTTCACTTACATCAGATCCACTAATAGCAAACCACAACCATCCAATCAATTCCCCACAGACAAAATCAAGCCCCGCCCTACATTTGCTCTTGTTCTAGAGATGCTGTTTCACTCAGATATATACAGTATGTCTCAACGGGAAAGAAAAGATGAGACAGTCTTAAGGCACTCTTCTTTTTCTTTTTCAGATGCTTTAAAGATTGAAATAAATAAAACATTTTAATGTATATTTAACAACTTGGGGCAACCTTAACAAATCCACATTTGTGTAAATAATAGTTACCCATTATCAAAACATCTTTGTTTTGTGGTTAATAGAGCTTTTAGCTGCGCTAAATCACAAAATACCTGTTCACCATATTACTGTGCAGATCATTATAAAGGAGTAGTTAAAAAAAAAACGCACGTTCGTAACTCTCCTGTTCAAACCATAGACAGTATAAGAAGGTTCAAACTTCTGTTCATTTTCTTTCATGTCATTTGGTTCATTCAATGAACGAAATGAACGAGTTGACTCAGGAAAATATTTGTTCATTTTGATGAACAAGTTTGAACAGGAGAGTCACGAACGCGCATCACAGAACAGAGCAAGGTGACCATTTGAGCTTATAAAACTTAAACTTAGTTATTTATTTATTAAATGAGCGATCGTTTCGCTTGATAAGACCCTTATTCATCGTCTGGAATCGTTTAAAGCCCTTTGAACAGTTTGCAGTTTGCACTGAAACTCCCATTTGGACTTTGAACCGTTTGGTTCCCAATGAAGTCCATTAAATGGAGAAAATCCTGGAGGGTTTTCATCAAAAAACTTAACTTCTTTTCGACTGAAGAAAGAAAGACATGGACATCTTGGATGACATGGGGGTGAGTAAATTATCAGCAAAAGTTTTTTTTAAAAGTGAACTACTCCTTCAACATTATAACTCTTTCTCAACAAATTTACACAGGTGAAATCCATTTATTTTAATAGGTATCTCCATAACTTAGGGTTTTTCACATGAATTTGCAACGTTGACCAAAAAAAAAAAAAACCTGCTAGATTTGAAAGTGATTTCTGTGTGAGCTGTGCTTCATACATCGCTACACTACTGTAATAAACAATGTAATTTGCCGTGACATTTCTCCAAAATGTAGACCACTAATGTGATGTGACTGCACCTTGGCCCAGTTTGCCACCTAGTGAGTTGTGAAATTGTTATCTATAAAAGGTTTGAGGAAGAACTTTAAGTTTTGTATGAAACATTTCTTCTATTCATTTATATATTTTTTATCTTTCTCCCTTTATCTGCTTTCACCATAGTCCTGTAAAGTCACAAATACGTATTTAAAAGTATTCAATGTAGACGCTCAGTAAATATTAGGTTAAAATAGTTGTACATAAAGTATGGCATCATCACATCGCAGCGCACTAGTGAAACCGCACTCTCACTTCCTTATGATGGTTAGCATAAGAATGATCAACAATGATCCAATGCCTTTTCCTTCAGCCAAAGTGACTCAAACACACACACACACACGCGCATGCACAACCACACACTAGCTGACTTTACAGCGGAAGTCTTAGTCTCAGTTGTCTTCCCTCCCATCAGAGGACAACTGCACCTTTCAGAAGCGTGAAGGTAACGTTTGCTCTATTGTCTATTTCGGCACATCTTTGTCTATTGTTCTGTTGTATTTGTCAAAAACTCTCTGCCTAACGTGTATTCGCAAACATGGTTTCATTTCAGATCCTTACATACTACAAGTTCTTTCTACAAAACTTTGCCATGTATGTTGTGTCGTGCAGCTCAACTTGCTTTTGAAATGGCGCTTGTTTGTTTACCTAAAATGAGATTGACATAGAAATCCATTCGTTGTCAAATGTGACAATTTTTCTGGATGTATCTCTCTCTCAGACACACACACACACACAGATGTCTGTTAAAGCGGACCACAGCGAAGATGAGGAGGGGAATCATGGGCCGGAGGTCACGGTCTTGGAGACTAACCGCTTTGGCTTCATTCTAGGAAATGGAGAAACTGACAGGTCTGTGTTGATGTCCACGTCCATCACTGCTTAGAGCTTGGGTGGAGGCTCATTTAAGTGTTTATCGCTCCCCAAAAAACCCTAGTTGAGCATGTGTGTGTTATACAATGTCTGATCTGTGGTCAAGGCATTTTATTTATCCTGTGTTGTATTGATAATTCAGTCATAACTCACAATCTTATAAGCAGCCGTTACCTTTTGCACCTCTAACTCTAGTCTTCTCCTTCTCAACATCCTGTCATGTTGCTATAGAGATATCTGGCCTGTCAGAGAGTGTGGTTTCCTGTTTTCTGTGTGTTTGCCTCTTATGACAGTTGTGCTTTGCACCGGTATGGAGACGGCTTAAGTGAGAGTGAGTTAGGAAGCAGGGTAGAGGCGTGTGTTTCTCTGCTTCACTTGAAAAAGTTTTTCACACTGACTGCACTGTCTCAGTCTCATTGCACTGTAGTTAAGACTGAAATGCTGCAGTGTAGTAGTGTAGTGTTGCTGATTGTGTGTGTGTCGTTGACAGTGACGGTCCATGTCCAGAGTTGGTGAGACATCGAGAGTCCAAATGGCTCAGTCTCATGACTCAATGGGAGCAAGTCATGGAGAAAAAGAGCAACAAGGTGTGTCTATCTCGCTGTCGTATAGACTGGTCCATTGGAAAAAAAGTTTACTGTTTGAATTAGACATGGTGAAAAAAAAATAGATCAAACTAGTATTGAAACTAAATTTATTCTGCTATTTCTGATCGTATTGATTCCTTGATTTTTTGATTTTTCAGTTATGAAAATGTGTGAAACCCCATATGTCATTGTCAGTGATACAGGATGTTGAATGTCAAATACTGCAGGCTGCAAATGAGTACCAAAATCCTCATATGTAAGATTTAGGATCATCTTATTAAAATGGATTATTTATTGTCAAAATTGTCATTACATACCCTCATGTTGTTCTTAACCACAAAAGATGATATTTTAAAGAATGTTGGTAATCAAACAGTTTACGGCACCCATTGACTTCTATAGTATTTGTTCCCAAGTCAGTTGGTTTGATTATCAACATTCTTCAAAATATCATCTTTTGTGTTCAACATAAAAAGAAACTCATACAGGTTTGGAAAAACTTGAGGTGTGAATGGGTAATGATGTGACTATCCCTATTTGGGTAAGTTAATTGTTAAAGAAATGTTTTAGCAGATCTTTTTTTTCTGAAAATGCTAAAATATCCAAGAATTTTGGATTCATTTGCAGTCAAAACAGCATTTAAAGGAGTAGTTCACTTTAAAAAAAAACTTTTGCTGATAATTTACTCACCCCCATGTCATCCAAGATGTCCATGTCATTCTTTCTTCAGTCGAAAAGAAATTAAGGTTTTTCATGAAAACATTCCAGGATTTTTCTCCATATAATGGACTTCAATGGGAACCAAACGGTTCAAGGTCCAAAAGACACTTTCAGTGCAAACTGCAAACTGTTCAAAGGGCTTTAAACGATTCCAGATGACGGATAAGGGTCTTATCAAGAGAAATGATCGCTCATTTAATAAATAAATAACAAAGTTTAAGTTTTACAAGCTCAAATGTTCGCCTTGCTCTGTACTGTGATGCACGTTCGTGACTCTCCTGTTCGAACGCGTTCATCAAAATGAACAAATCTTTTCCAGAGTCAACTCGTTCATTTCGATTGTTGAATGAACCAAATGACACGCAAAAAAAAGATTTGTTCATTTTGATGAAAGAGTTCCAACAGGAGAGTCACAAACACGCATCACAGAACAGAGCAAGGCGAGCATTTGAGCTTATAAAACTTAAACTTTGTTACTTATTTATTAAATGAGCGATCGTTTCGCTTGATAAGACCCTTATTCATCGTCTGGAAGGTTTAAAGCCCTTTGAACGGTTTGCACTGAAACTCTCATTTGGATCTTGAACCGTTTGGTTGAAGTCCATTATATGGAGAAAAATGCTGGAATGTTTTCATCAAAAACCTTAATTTCTTTTCGACTGAAGAAAGAAAGACATGGACATCTTGGCTGACATGGGGTGAATAAATTATCAGCAAAAGTTTTTTTTAAAAGTGAACTACTTCTTTAGTTGTAAGCATAAGTTTTACCATATCCAGACACATCGCTCAGCTCTCTTCCTTTGTATCAGGTCAAAGGTCAATGTCAGAAGGGCATCCCAGCATCCGTCAGGGCAAAGGGCTGGCCACTTCTCTGCGGTGCTAAGGATAGAAAAGACAAAAACCATGAACTCTACCAAGTAAGTGATTGGTTGTATTTGTATCATGTTTTTATATTCTTACACATTGCCTGGCCAAACAAAACAAAATTGCTGTTTGATTTTAAATGCGCAAATGCTTAAGAGTCTCTGATTGGATCATTTTTACCGTGATTATTTTGTTTCTAACATGGTTGGGTGGAGCATGAAGAATCATTGTCACATGAATTGGCTCCTCTGAATCCAGACCTTAAATTCACTGAAAGTCTTTGGGATGTGCTGGAGGAGACTTTACAGAGTGCTGGACTCTTGCATTGTCAATACAAGATCTGGACCAAAAATTGATGCACCTCTTGATGGAAATAACATCACTACATTTATTTCCATCACAAAGTGCATCCATTTTTTGGTCAAGATCTTGTATTGACAATGCAAGAGTCAAGAAGAACTTATGGTTAGAAGAACTGTTGCCAAACATATAAAATGTTAGAAACATAATAATCAGTGCAATATTGACTCTTAAGCATTTGCCTATTTAAATCCAAAAAGCGACTTTTTTTTTTGGCCAGGCAGTGTATAAGCCCTGTTTGTTCTGTGTTAGCGTCTAGTCGAAGCTCCAGATCATCAGGGATGGACAGATGTCATCAAAAGAGACACAGACAGACAATTTCCCTTCCATGAGATGTTCCAGTCCAAAGACGGCCATGGGTAAATGTCCTTTCCCCTCCCGTGCTGAATGCAATGTGCTCTGTAGCATTATAAATCACGACCTTGTTCATTCTGTGTCTGCTTCTGTGTGTTCTCTCTATGAATAGTCAGAAGGACTTGCTGGAGGTCCTGAAAGCGTACACTCAGTACCGTCCCGACGAGGGCTACTGTCAGGCACAGGGTCCGGTGGCCGCGGTCCTTCTGATGAACATGCCTGCTGAGGTACCACTCCTGTCATGACTATACAGTACACGGCACAGAGCTATAACAGAACAAACAACAAAATAATATGCAAAAGGCCAGGCATTGTAATGTATTCCTGTGATCAAAGCTGAATTTTCAGCATCATTACTCCAGTTGAGTGTCACATGATCTTTCAGAAATCATTCTAAAATGATTTGATACTCAACGAACATTTCGGTAACACTTTACGATACGGGTGCACTAATATGCATGAATTCATACTTAACTAATGCACAGATAATCATGAGTTAATGTATAATTAATGAAGAACTAAACCATTAATTAATGATTACTGCATCAGCAACTAATAAAGAGTCTATATGCTTAATAGATTAAGTAATACATGAATTGCTATTAATTCAATGTGTCATTGTGTATTAGTTCCTTAATAACATATTTTATGAACTAATAGTGTAAATTAATGTGTTTTACCACAATTAGTCAAAGCTATGCACTTCAACTTCTTTAAGTAATCATTAGCTAATTTGCAAAGGTATCATTATGTTATGACTTTACTTGTTGGGGCACATCATTATTAACTATTCATTTAGTAATTTGCACATGAATTTGCACTAACAATGAAGTAATTAATCATGTATTAATTCATATTAGTGTACCTGTCATATTATCTGGAAGTTGAAATACAAGGCTTTGGCTCATTCTGGTAATTAACATATTAAATAATATAAGTTAAAAAATGAGTTAATCCACAATTACATATTTAATTAATAACAATTCATGTATGTAACTAATATATTAACCTTACAGACTCTTAATTAGTTCCTAATGTGGTAATCATTAATGAATAGCTTAGATAATCATTAGTATACACATTAATTCAGTATTATCTGTGCATTAGTTAAGCATGAATTTATTAGTGCACCCGTATTGTAAAGTGTTACCAACATTTCATATCATTATCAATGTTGAAAACAGTTGTGCTGATTCATATTTTTTTAAATGGTTGCATGGTTTCAAATAAGAGATGATCTATGGATAATTTTGCAAATGAATCCTACCTGTCATTGTGTTATTGCATAATTAAACACATATGCAATATTGCAAACAATCGTGTACTACCATTTATTGCCACATTACCTCATTTTGTGATTAGGGTCCAGCTATAATTTCAGAAATTGTATTCATATGCTACTGCAGAACTAGTTAGCATTGAATGCTAGCGTGACATTGCGTAACTCACTGTCTTAATGTTTAAGGAGGCGTTCTGGTGTCTGGTGCAGATTAGTGAGCTCTACCTCCCTGGATACTACAGCCCTCTGCTGGTAGGGCATCTTTACAGTAACCATGAAAATAACGGTTAAATGCGCATGAAAATTGATAGATAAACTTTTATTATGCTTTCTCTTCAGGAAGGTGTTTTATTCGACGCTGCTGTTCTCTCAAGTGTGTTAAAAAAGCTGTGTCCAGCGGCACACAAACACCTGCAGAATCAGGGGGTGGAGCCTCTCATGTTTGCCACTGATTGGCTGATGTGTCTGTACAGCCGTCACCTGCCTTTCAACACTTTGCTCAGAGTCTGGGATCTCTTTTTCTGTTATGGTTTGTTTTCAACGATATATTTGCAAGATTTAAAGGTGCACTAAGTAACTAGTTTGACTATTAAACTGTACGATTTATAATAGTCCGTCACGACTGTTGATTGTCACACCGTGTCCGAACTACACGCGACGCGATAAAATTCCACAGCAAGTGTGTCTGTCCACACTAGACGTGGCGTGACTGTGAGACGCCACATGTCAATCAAAAATCACAGCCATTTAGAACAGTGTGTGGGCGGAGTCTCTCTGTGAAAGCGCACCGCTGGCCCGCACTCGCATTGGAAATGGGTAAGGACGTAATCAAATCAAGAAATAACATTATTAAAAATCAAAACATTAACAAAATATACTTATTGGCTAATTTTGTTATGAAGTACAGTTGTATGTTTGCATAGAATTCATTTTGATCGCTATATTATAAGCTTTCAAAACCTGAGGTAAATTATCTGTTATCGCTTGTGGCACAGTGACCTTTGAACTTCGACAATCAGTTCCTCGTCGTCCATGTTTGATGATTAAATATTCATGACACGGAGAACTTCCATCCAATGAGATCTCTGTGTGGGCGGATATGTAAGCCGTGACGTCGCAGAAATAGGAACCGTTTCTAAATTAGAAACTTCGCGTGAAACTCAGATTAACTCAGATTTTTTTATCCGAATCCGACACGTTTGTATCTGCAGCTGTGGTAACTAGAGAAGAACTGGCAACCCGGATGCCGCAACACTACTGACTCTGTGATTGGTAGATCAGTGGAGAGGGTGGCGCATCAGAACAAAACACAACATGACAATATCAACATCAGTCGAGGGCTGCGACTTCACTTTTTAAACGACAATATCCTGGCTGGAGTACTGTTGTCAGTGACATAAGTATTTGAAATGAACATGATTTCTTAATGTCTAGTGACACATCAGGGAAAATGTGTGATTAATTGAAATTTCTTGCATACAGCTCCTTTAAAAGATAATTGCAACTTTTTATCTCACAATTATGACTTTTTTTCTTGCATTTGTGATTTTATATCTCACAATTCTGAGAAAAAAAAATCAGGATTATGAGATAAGTCACAATTAACTTTTTTATTTTCATTCAGTGGCAACAAGTTTCCATAGATTAGAGCATTAGGCACGTGAGCTAAACAATTATAGGTGAGCATATAGTTTCTGTACTGTGGAGGTCTCCATCCGCTCCTCCAGCTCTGTTACACAGCAGAAAAAAGGTTTTATAGGCCACAAATACCGCTGGAGTTCATCATTTGTCAAAAGTAACACCCTATATTTTGCGGTAAAATACTTAGTGCACCTTTAGTGCATCTCTTGGCATGTTAACCTGTTGTTGAAGTCCATGAAGTGACCACAGCTGGTGTGTGTGTGGCAGGTGTGCGGGTTTTGTTTCAGGTTGCAGTCGTGCTGGTGCGGCGATGTCTGGGAGAGGGGAGACAGCGAAAAGAGTGTGAAGGACAGATGGAAACTCTAGAGCGACTGCGAGGTGTTAAAGAGCGTGTCCAAAATGAGCAGACTGACGCCTTTATCCATGAGGTAATATTGTATTTCAACTAATCTAAATAAAGTCTAAATCTTTTTTTGGCTGTGAAATTTTGCTAATGTGACATCCTGTTAGTGTGAACAGGCCTTAAAGGAGTAGTTCACTTTTGAAAAAACTTTTGCTGATAATTTATTCACCCCCATGTCATCCAAGATGTCCATGTCATTCTTTCTTCAATCTAAAATAAATTAAGGTTTTTGATGAAAACACTCCAGCATTTTTCTCCATATAATGGACTTCAGTGGGAACCAAACGGTTCAAGGTCCAAAAGACACTTTCAGTACAAACTGCAAACTGTTCAAAGGGCTTTTAACGATTCCAGGCGATGAATAATGGCGCTTTTCCACTGCATAGTACGGTACGGTTCGGCTCAGTACGGTTCGACTCGGCGCGGAACAGTTCGGCTCGCTTCGCGTTTCCACTGCGTGGTAGGACTCGATTCGGTACGGATCGGTTCGCTTAGCTCGGTTGCTTTTCCACTGCAGTAGTACGAAGTGTGCAAAGTGTGTGGGACTGATCGTTATTTGCGCGCGCCTCTACTGCCATGACATCATCTTAAAAGCGCCACATTTTCAAACCCACAACAGGAACAATGGAGACTATCGAGGGGATGGTGTTCCTGATTCTCTGTATGTGGTTGTTTGTTTTTAACTGCTAGAAGTAAAAATGTGTTTAAAATGAGGCTGATGGCAACAAAACAAAATACTGCTAAAAAAAGTGTCTCGTGTCGCAAATCCAATGACGCTAGTAGTGACGCTGGTAGTGACGATTCTGTCTGACCAATCAGTGATCTGCAGTGTTTCACGTCACATTTTAGTACTGGTACGGTACGCTTGGAACCTCAACAGACCAGGTACCATTTAAAGCGACCCGAAGCGAACCGTACTGTACCGTACCATGCAGTGGAATAGCACCACAATTGAGCCGTACCGAACCGAACTGAACTGTACCATGCAGTGGAAAAGCGCCATAAGGGTCTTATCAAGCGAAACGATCGCTCATTTAAAACATTTTTTTTTTATGTTTTATAAGCTCAAATGGTCGCCTTGCTCTGTTCTGTGATGCACGTTTGTGACTCTCCTGTTCGAACTCGTTCATCAAAATGAACGAATCTTTTTCCGAGTCAATTCGTTCGTTTCGTTTGTTAAATGAACCAAATGATTTGGAAAAAGATTCGTTCATTTTGTTCATTTCACAAACGTGGTTCACAGAACAGAGCAAGGCGAGCATTTTTGTTTATTAAACTTAAACTTTGTTATTTATTTATTAAATGAGCGATCGTTTCACTTGATAAGACGCTTATTTATCGTCTGGTGTCGTTTAAAGCCCTTTGAACAGTTTGCAGTTTGTACTGAAACTGTCTTTTGGACCTTGAACCGTTTGGTTCCCAATGAAGTCCATTATATGGAGAAAAATCCTGGAATGTTTTCATCAAAAACCTTAATTTCTTTTCGACTGAAGAAAGAAAGACATGGACATCTTGGATGACATGGGGGTGAGTAAATTATCAGCAAAAGTTTTTTCAAAAGTGAACTACTGCTTTAAGTTCTGATAGATTTCTTTACTCAAAAACACTGTTACACCCTTAGGTATGTTCAGTGTCCCTGTCCCTGTCGGACCTGCAAAAACAAACTGACAAAGAGCTGGAGAAATGGAAGAAAGACAGACCGAACTCGACCTTTGACCCACGAGGGCGCTGTTACGGATACCGGATGGCATGGGAAAGAGTCCAGGATAAACAAAAGGAACACGAAAAGAAGGAGCGACAGAAGGGGAGCCTGATCATTCCTCTAATGCGCTCACATTCTTCTCTTTCTCCTTCGGTTCTGCGCAAGAAATGGAGGAAGAGGAGCAGTAAGACTGACACAGAGGAGTGGGATGGAGGGGGAAGAAAATTCTCACGTAGTCTGGTGGAGGAGAGCGATGAAGAGGAGATGAGGAGGAAGAGTGTGTGTGGTGTCGTTGGGGAGCAAAGGGACAAACGGGACAGGCTAGCAGATGAACTCTGCACACACAAACACAAAGACCGCAACACACATCCAAACATCTCAGTGGTGGTGTCCTCCAGTATTGACTCTGATGTTTTTGAGAAAGAGCATGAAGAAGCATCTTTAAACCAACAGAAAGATAATTCAGCAACAACACAAGGAGACGAGAAAGAACGGTGTGTGGTTGAGGAGACACACCATCATGAACAGATCACAAACCAAGATGAACTGAGTAAACAAACGCAAGGACATCAGGATGAACAGAATATAGAAAAAGACAGAGGTCAAGATGAACAGACTGTGGAAGAGAAGACTTTAGAGCCAGAAGAAAGTTCACCTGTTGAAACATCACAGGAAGAAGATATACAGACTGTGTTCAGTAAACAGGAAGAGGAAACACAGCCAGATAGCAACATCCAGGAAGTAGAAATACAAACAGAACACTGTGAACGACAAGAAGAAACAGAAAATAGGTTGCCAATTGTCATAAAACCTGAAGACAACTTGCAAAATGAGGAAAGTATCCCAGAGAAAGAGGTGCAGATACATGTTGTACAGGACAAAACATCTAGCGATCAACAAGAAAATTCAGAAAGGCAGAAAGAAAAGGATTTGTACATGCACACACCTACAGAGGAAGAGGAAGAGCCTGGTGAAAAACATGAAGGTTTTCAGCAATTAGAGTTTAATGTTCTCCCTGAGGAGGAGATAAAGGAAGCCAAAGAGATAACAGAGCCTTCAAAGATGTGTGAGGAGAAAGATGACAAGAGATTGGGGGAAGAAAGACAAGATTTAAGCTTAGAAGAGAGAGACAATAACCCATTGCAAACATCTGAAGCATCCTTCTTACAAACTGAAGAAGAGCATCCGGAGAGATCAGCAGATCCCGTACAGCAATCCCAATCAAGCGAGCCGGAGCACAATGACATGGATGCTACCGTTACATCTGAAGAGTTAGTGCACTGTCCAATGGATTCCACTGTGAGGGATACAGAAGGATCTGGCAACCCAGAGCAGATTGAATCGGATCCTGCTGATGACACAAACACCCTTGAACCAAATGCAACAGTAGCATCTAGACACTCTGAACACAGTGACAATGATGCTGCCGCTGTTGCCACATCTAGTAACAGTGAAATCGATCCCGAAAATAGTGAAGAAATTAAATCACCAGGATCTGAAAATACAATATGTTGTGAAGTCAATACAACTGAAGAATCGAGCAACCCCACACACAATCCAGAGGATGATACTATCCTCTCAGAAAGAAGCAATGGAATGCACGTTTCTCCAGAATCTGGCAACCCTGAAAGCAACACGATAAATTTTACCTCTGAATGTGGCAAAGAAAGCAATGGTGTGGAAATTATTGTTGAATCTGGCAATCCGGAGAGCAATCTCGTGGATTCTGCTATTAGCAACCTTGAAAGCAACGTGACAGATGTTATTATTGAATCTGAAAAGACAGAATGCAATGAGGTGGAAATTGCTGTTGAATCTGGCAACCCAGAGAGCAACACAGTAGATTCGGCTGTTGGCAAACCAGAATGCAGTGACGTGCATGTTACAAGTGGATCTGGCAACCCTGATAATAATATAATAGAATCAGATGCTGGATCTGGCAACCCAAATAGTAATATAATAGAATATGATGTTGGATCTGGCAACCAAGAATGCAGCGATGTGCATGTTACAACTGGATCTGGCAACCCAGATGGTAATATCCCAGAATGCAGTGATGTGCATGTTATAACTGGATCTGTCAACCCAGATAGTAATATAATAGAATCAGATGTTGGATCTGGCAACCCAGATGGTAATATAATGGAATCAGATGTTGGATCTGGCAACCCAGAATGCAGTGATGTGCATGTTGCAACTGGATCTGGCAACCCAGATGGTAATATAATAGAATCAGATGTTGGATCTGGCAACCCAGAATGCAGTGATGTGCATGTTACAACTAGATCTGGCAACCCAGAAAGTGATAAAGATGATTCAGCTGTTGTATCAGGCAACCCGGGTTACAAAGAGGCAACTGAATCTGACAACCCAGAGACCAACAGAGATCACGTGACTGCTGTATCTGGCAACCCTGAGTGTAATACAGAGGATTGTACTGCTGGATCTGGCAATCCTACTGACAGTGAATGTGCAATACCAGGAAACAGCCAGGGTTTAGAGTCTCCCTTTTTAATTCAATCTTCAAAATCCCCAAACCCAAACGTCCCGCCAGCTCATCTCTGTGTGCGAAGGACTTCCAGCTCACGGGTTTCCTATCCCACAATCCTCTCTGAGGACACCTTCAGAGAGCCACAGCAGCAAGAACACACGCCTTCAGAAAATACGACACACACACTTACACAAGACACACACGCTCAGCCTAGCTCACCGACAAAGTCAGACAATCCAAAACGTCTGGGTCTGTTCCGTCGCCTCCGTGGGGAGACCAGCAAAACCACCATCCCCAAAATCCTCATCCAGGACTTTAGCGAGAAAGAGGAGAAACTGACGGCGAAAGAGAGGAGGAGGCGGAAGAGAGAGAAAGAGCGCAAAGAAAGGGAAGAGAAAGACAGAAAGAAACGAGAGAAAGAGCTGGAAAAGGACAAAGGAAAAGAGAGGAAAAAGCCTCAGACACGAGGGAAGAGTTTCCAGGTGCTCAGCAGGAAGTGTGCCAATGACGTCGTGTCCACGGGGAACAGTGACTCTCAGACATCTCGCTCCAGGAGGAACTCGGACCCTTTTTCTGACAATTACTTCTAAATAATCAGAGACTTGACCACATATTCGCATTTCACAGTGCGAGTGAGATGTTTTAATGTGAGCCGTTCAATGATTTGATGTGGCTTGTTTTATTCACTGCTTCATCTCTTGGTTTAAACTCATTATTATTTTGATAGAAAATAAAATCAGGAGAAGTGTGTGTGTGTGTAAATGTCTTTAGCAGTCTTTGTGAGGTTGCATGTTTCCACATCGCTATGATGTTTCTGCCTGATTTTCGTCTTCACTGTCACTTGCGAGCACTTCCTGGCTCTGTATCGTCTGATTGGTCCGCTGAGACAGCGTGGGCAGGACTGAACCGAAGAAAAGTGAACAAAACTGAAAGAAAAGAAGGCAGGGATAAATAATCAGTGAGATGTGGGCATTAGGTTTTATGTTTTTACTATGTTTTAAGATTATAGTACCTTTTTGTTGGGAGGTCCTTCTGCAAGTGCTTCCTCCTGCTCCTCTTCGCTGGATGGGTGTTTTCTGTTATTGGAGGTGTGCGGGGGGGATGTGGGTGCATGTGACGGTCCAGGAAGTTCACTGGTCTCCATGGCGATGAGAAATGAGTCCATGTCGTCATTCATGAAGTCGTCTGGTGGTTGCTCTGTATCAGGGCTGAGGGGAAAACAACAATAAAAGTACTAAATAGAAATGAATCTTACGTTTATAGGATTGATTATATTCCATATTTCAGGATCTGACGTACTGTTTTGGGTTGGATTTGCCGTGGTTCTTTGGATGCGAGTCCTCTGACAGTGTAGCGAGGACAAAATTAGCCTCCAGAACACTGTCTGTTACACTCAGGATTACTGGACTTAAACACAATCACATTGTTAGATTAAACATTTATAATGTTACAAAAGATTTCCATTGCAAATAAATGCTATTGTTTTGAAGTTTCTTTTCATTAAATAATGTTAAAATATCAATGATTCCACAACAATGTTGATGATAATGTTTCTTGAGCATCAAATCATCAGAATGATTTCTGAAGGATCATGTGACACTGAAGACTGCAGTAATGATGCTGAAAATTCAGCTTTGATGATCACAGGTATACATTACATATATTCACAAATATTAAAATATTATATTAAAATGTAAAACTATTAAAATTAAACAGTTATATTACTTTTCAATGGTAGTGTACATAACATTTTTGAAAATAAATCCTTATTTTGAAAATTCAGTGGACAAAAGGTGAATTTGGGCTAGTTCATGAACAAATATAAACTAACCTGCCTGGCTCATCAAAATAAATAGAGATTGGAAGACCAGACGACTCAGCAAATACAAGCAAACCCTGTTGGAAAGCCAGAGAGACAAAAATGGCAAATTCAATGACAAAACCAAGGTTAAATACATTAAGGAGAAGCAAAAAAGACAAAAGCAAACATTACATTTGACACCAATCAAGTTTTTACTATAACAGATGTACCTTTTCTTCTTGTGCATGATTAATCAGGGCAATTAAAACCTAATTAAAAAAATTCAATTAAGTCAAAAGTAGGTGGATGTAGGTCATGGGCAGTTTCAAGGTAAAACGCTAAACCATCAAAATGATGATGACAATTTAACAAAGGTTTTCTAAAATTATAAATCTCACATTTCAAACTTCAAACAATTTTTAAGAAAAGGGAAAACATGATATATGATTATGATAAGAAATAACAATACATTGTATTTATAAGCGCCTTTTATGGCACTCAAGATTACCTTACAAACTTTCGTTTGGATTTAAATAGGCAAATGCTTAAAGGTGCCCTAGCTAGAATGTTTTTTTACTATTTTTTAATGATTCCTGGGTTGCCCTTATAGTGTTAGTATGTTTTTTAGATCAAAAATAGTCATAATTTAGAAATAAAAGGCATTTTTCCTAGCCTGATTTTAGCCTCTGATATGAACGCTCTGTTTGAAGGGGCGTGTCTGCTGTGTGTAACCGGCCTCTGCTGTGATTGGCTGACATTCTTGCATATGAATTAGCTATGTATTACATGTGAAACTCTCTCGAATAATTTTACTACAGCTATTATAGGTTTTTACTATTACAGGTATCGAGATTAACGAATCGTGATAGGTTTTTGAAGTATTTAGATCTATTCTCATCACATAAAATGTTGCTGTGATGAGCATTTAGCAAGCAGAGGACAGTCTGTCGATGGCGAGGATGAGGATATTATCATTGTAAAGCAGTTTCTGCACTCTCTCTAATGCTTTCCCCAATGCAGACACGATCATGTTAATACAGTAAGAGCTTCGTTTGCAGTGTAACGTGCGTCATTAAATTCATAACGAGTTTGGCAAGTGTCCAGATAAACTCGCGCTGCGTGGAAAGATTGTTCTTTGATCGCTTTCTGTATAATTTATTCACAATTTAAATACGTTTTTTTTTTCATCCTACTAAAATAAATGATGTGAAGTTGATATTTGATCACTGGCTTGACTCACTGATGCATAAACAGTATTGAACGATTTTGAGAGAATGATTACCTGTCTGAGCATGAACAACAATTACCCATCAGAAAGTATTGCTAGGTAGCTCGATAGGCCAGCTCTTGGCCCAAGTTGAGGAAACAGTCGTCTGTGAAATGTTTGAAAATTTCCAGAGAAAATAAAATGAACCCATTGTTTCTTCAGAGGCTCGGATGAAGGAACTAAAAAACATTTTTGTATTCATGTGTACATCCGAACACTGAGCGACTGCCATGCTTTGACTGCGCAGCTCCGTCTCGTCTGTCATTGAACATGGGCTGAAATACTGTATGCTCATGTTAGGAGTCATACATATTAATGATCCCGACTGTTGCGTCACAGTCGGTGTTATGTGGAGATTCGCCTGTTTTTCAGGGGTGTTTTTCAAAAACGAGATTTAAGTAAAAAGGAGAAAACAATGGTGAACTCTTGTTATTTAACTATGCCAAAATAAATTAAATTTCACATTCTAGGGCACCTTTATTAGTCACTGATTGGATCATTATTGCATTGATTAATATGTTTACAGAAATATGTCACACTGACCTATCTTTAGGTTTGTTTATGTGAATGTTTGTGTGAGTTCACACACTCACCCTGAGCTCTTTGAGGCAGAAGGTGATGCTGGTCTGAGTGCTGATGGCAAAATGATCGAACTCCACTGAGCTCAAACACAGTTCAGTCATCATTGCCCGTGATGAGTCTGAGAGAGGAAAAAACTTTGACTTGACTTGTTTTCTGCATAGCAGCAGAATGAAGACTGAAACGGCTGATACCTGCGTCATCCTCCACGTGGTTCCTGAGCCACACTCGGTCACTGCTCACTGACAGATTCACCTCCTCCTGAGATGGAGGGAAATGCAGAACTGTGTCCACCATCAACCTACAGTAAACAACACGACTTCATTAAACACACACTGAAAGGTACTGCAAATGGGTTGATATTAATATTGAGGCATTAAGATTAATGTAAACCTGGGTTGAGCTTGTAGCACGTTTGCACAGCTTTCTTTATCAAACACGGCCTGCAAACTCTCACAGTCCTGAAAGGACAAATTATGTGTTTTCAAGAGCCCTGTAACAAACACACAGTTTAGTTGATCATACTGTCAAAAATGCCATTTCTATGCAAGATTGGTAACAAGTTTGAATAAAATAAAATGTGTGTGTATTTTACCATAATGAAGGTTAATCAAGTCAAATGTATTTGGATAGCGCTTCGCACAATACACATTCGCTCAACGTGGCTTTACAGAAAATCATGAAGTTAATGAGTGTAGTATTTTAATATCTTTATGCCTTAAAGTCGAAATTAGCAGATTAGAGATTTGGTGATAATATAATTTACATTTTGCAATGATATAAGCAGTTGAGACTTGCTATAAAGAATGTATTGTTTTACGTGTGTCTGTACTGTATGCATGTGGATAAGTTGGAAATTCATATAATTACGAAATTATTTGGAAATTCATATAGAAATTATATAGAAATTCATATATAATTACAAAATTATATGGAAATTCATATAATTACGAAATTATATGGAAATTCATATATAAATTATATAGAAATTCATATATAATTATATAATTACGTGTGTCTGTACTGTATGTATGTGGATAAGTTGGAAATTCAATTAATTTATATAATCAACTTTATATTTAGAGCTATGTGATGATATAGATTACATTTAATCCTACTAAGAAAAAGCATGTAACAATGTTTTTTTTTTTCAGGGGAACGTTTTTACCGTGTTTACAGTGCAGAGTTATGGTCAACCGACTCTTTTCACTGTTCAGCTGAATACGGCACTTTTCTACGGAGCGATCCAGAGACGACAGGGACTTGAACACAGCCTGAACACTCTGAAGAACACAAGAAAAAGACAAGTAGACTTCAAGAAGATTTTACATTCTGAAGCTCAAACGTGACGCGTAACACGAGAATGAACCTCATTGGTTCTCGCACATCAAGCGAACATGATTAGCACAACTGATGTGTGAGTTGATGAATGTTTATATGTGAATAAAAGACTAAATTCAATCTGTTCATCATATAAAGCAGTCTCTGCAGAAAATTTGGAAGAATCCTCTCAATTCATATGGATTAGTTTTACATTCTCTTTATGAACTCTCTCAAAGTGTCAATTTGGTAGTTGTGTAGCTGTCAATGGAGGGACAGAAATCACTCAGAATGAAGATCTTCATTTGTATTTCAAAGATGAACGAAAGTCTTGTGGGTTTGCAATGACATGAGGGTGACCCTTTAAAATAACTCTTGAGGAAACATCTCTGATGACGCGTTTACTGGTGCGAGGGCGGGACAAACTGTCACTTACATCAGATCGACCAATAGCAAACCGCAACCATCCAATCAATTCTCCATGGACAAAATAGGGTGACTTGTGTTGTACTGCAGAGCATTTTCACCCCTTGTCCCGCACGTCGCATATTGAGGAAAAGTCCCGCATTTTAATCAGTCTATTGGTTTTTAATTATCATATTAAGAAAGCTGTTTATTTATTTTTGCAGCGTAGTTTTTCACCTATATTTAACAGCGCTTCGTCTAAGTAGCGTACAAATACAACAGCCGTTTTTTTTTATATCTTATCCACTGGTTGAAAAGAAAGCAGTAAACACGGCCACTAGTAGGTTCTGACGGCTGTCAATCAAAATGTGGACTGGTGATTCATTCCATTGGTGTTCCCTGTCAGAAAACAAATGGATAATTCGGTCAATTAAAATTTTGTAATTTAACAGAATTTATCGGTCGTTGTTTAACCTGTTGCTTGCTGTGGTTGTTTTAATTCACATCCTTTCTAAAAAAATGAAAGTTTTTGGTTTTTAATATATTCTTAATATATAAGAAAGACTATCTAATTTCATGTTGTTTTGTATTTATTTGTTCATTGTTTACAGCTGAAAGGTAGAATAAAAATGTTTTTATTAAGTTAAATTACATAACAGTTTCAGGGTCGGTAACATGTCCCACATTGTCCCACGCAAACTTATAATCGTCCCACATGTTTGATGGTGGTCACCCTAGGACAAAATCAAGCTCGTTCAGATATAGGCTACATAACAATAGGGAAGAAAACACTATAGCAATCTGTTTCATGCCGACTTTAATAGATAGACACATTATAGTGTTTACGTGATGATGCATTGACAAGTATTTAGTTCCCAAAATATTGAGGAACTGCAGAGATGGAGTTAACAGAACAGGAAATGTTACCTTGATGGGTATTTTGCAGCGAAAGTTCTGGTCTGAAGGAGCCTGATATTTCTGGAAGAAGAGAGGAGACAGCAGGAAGCAGGCAAAGGCTGACCGGGAAGAGTTAACCGACCGAAGGGACAGCTAAAAACACAGAACACACACAAGTCACATTATTTTAACAGCTCACATTAGTCTATCATAAACATAAACACATAATCATAAACACTGGGAACAAACACATAACGTTACCCCATCCTCCACAGGCTCCAAATACAGCTCCTCTCCGATTCTTGACAGCGAATGTATGGCTTTTGCTAAAACTACACGCACAAAAAAAGGTGTGCATGACTAAACTTCTGTTCAGAAAGCCTTTTATATAAAAGCAGGGGAAGTTCACATAGGAAGTTTAATTATAATATTTTGAAAAACGCGTTATTAACGTTACCTTTCACGTTTCCTCCGGTTGCAACACAATCCATTATATTTGCTTGTCCACAATATTATTTTTAAACAACATACACTTGTTTACATTAATTTTCCTCCGGCTCAAGCTGGTGTATGTGTAGAATCACGGAACCGGCCACATGACCGACGCCAGTGGCTCATATAACGCAAGAAATTGCACGTAAAGATACGTTTAAGAGCTGTTATCTGTTATCGTACAACACAAAGTACACAATTCAGACAACTGTAAACTTTTTAGAAGCTGATAATTCAAGAATTTGTTTACTTCGAATACGACATGTGTGGCGCGTATTTTTGGCTCTGGCCAATCAGAGGGAGGTATCAGACTGACACAGGTGTTGCGTCATAACAAAGCGCCCAACATAATAGAAGGTTCTGTTCCCTATGGTTCCAACATAAAATTACGCAAGGAAACTGCTTAAACTTTAAAAACAGGTTCTGCAGGATCCTCTTAAAGTTAAATGTCAATGAAATTATATTAATCATAATACTTTATAATTAGTTTAAATAAGAATAGAAATAAACGGCTGTTTGATATTGTCATTACAATTTTTGTAACAACAGCATCACAGCAAGATTCTATATTATCCTATATTAGCGTAACATATTTTTGTTTGAGCATATTTTCTTTTATTGTCCTCAGCAAAATGTTGTTTGACCCCTTTGTTAATGTGTTGTTGAAGTAGGCCTATTCAAATTAACATCACATTATTCTACTTCATTAATTTCTTATTGACTAGTTTTGATTTACATTGTAACCATATCATTTATTGTATTTTACTTTCTAGTAATAGAAATCTTAATAATTATATAAATCTACAGCAATCTAGCTAAATACCATTATTACAATTAGTGTTAATACCAGTTCTCTAATTTTGCATTAGAGAACAGCATTATGTTGGCTGCTTAAAAGAAAAAAGGTGACCAATTAAATGAAATCGCTCCACGTCATATTAAGACATAAAAATGTTCTCACGGGTTTAAGACACAATGTCTTCATCATTCAGCGGCTGGTCAGAGGGAGTGACAAAAATACAAAATGTTTCGTCCTGACACACTCGTCTTACCTGTCCATCTGGGTGTTGGACACACCTCTTTCCTCTCTTTCCGTCTTGAACTATTATTCATAACACTCCTTTCTTTTGCAAGATTTCATAAATCAAGAAAAGATTTAGAGAGGAGAGATGAAAAACATGGGGAGCTGAATGACGGACTGAAATAAATACTGGAATGGACTAACATGAGGATATACATGAAGGATCTGTGGAATTATCCAGCATGGGTGAAAGTTGAGCGTCTAGAGTGAGTCTGCTTTATTGTGTAGCCTACATCTTGCCTCTATCTGTGAGTTGACTACTCATGTGTGCAAATGTGGTATAGAGCCCAATGGAGGAGATGAACCCTGTTTCAGACACTCATGCCTTACTGGAATCTATGCTTCAGAAATTACAGCTAAACACAACAACCAACAGTAGCTCACATGCTGATATGCAAACATGTAGTATGTACGAAACAGGGGAGGATTCATCAAAAACAACAGTTTATCCGTTTGGATTTTCTTCCAAAAGTAAAGAGCGAGATGGAAGCACCTCAGTTTGGAATAAGAGGGAGAATCCATGGACTCAACAATCTTCTCATTTTGAGGGTGCATTGACTCCGCAACCCGTCAAAAGGATCAGTAAACACAACTCGGCATTCTCTACTAAACCAAAACGGCCACCATTAATTTGGGGCGAACACACACGCTTTACGTCAGAGAGGACCGATGATGTCACTTCCTGGGTCGGAGACAACCAGATGCCCAGGCCAGAGAAGTTGCAACAATTTTCTCTGGAAGGGAACACCAGCTCAAATGTGCCACCGTCATACAAAACAGAATCCTTCCAAAACCCCCCTGACCTTCTGGCTCCCACACTGACACCATCATCTTCAGTGGTGGAAAAACCAGAGGTCAAGGGTCAAAGTGGCACATGGAGCTGGGTTGCTTCGAATGAGAAAATTGAAGGCACCAGACATCACGAGCAATCAGGAAAAACGACAAAAACAAGTAGGAAGAAGTGGGGGGGAGCTAAAAGGTGGGCTCAGAATGTGAAAGAGAGATGGAGAGAGAGACACCGAAGCACAATGACCAGACAAAGAGATGATGGAGAAAGACTAGCGCAGGATGAAGTACAAGTGAGTATTTTGGTGTAATTCAGTTAAAGCCAGTTTTGAAATAGTTCTTTGCCTATTAGTGGAGCTTGCAATATTAGGCTACTACACTGAACCAAACACTGCAAACTTGCAAAGTTATTAAGCTAGGCTAATTTAGAATTCACGACTGTTGTTTGGATACTTAATAATTAATAATTTGGAAAAACAAAACATAGAAACACTTAGCGTATGCCCAGCACAGTCTGTTTGGATACTGAAATGTTCTGAAAATTATGAAATTATGTCAAGTATAGCAACCACCTAGCAACTGCGTAACAGTGTGCTAAAAAAACTCAGAATGCCTTAGCAACATAAACTGTGTCAATCGCCAGTGCAATGTCGTGAGAACAAACATGGACGTGACAGTTGACGGGCCAATGCTGCATCGGCAAAAAAAATGTAAGCCTTGGCAATTTAAATATTCAAGCGTTAGAAGACGCAAAAGGAAACTCAATTCGTTACTTGCACGCTGTGTGGGAAGTTTTGTGCGTGCACACATCTGAAGCGCACACAGAAAGCTGTGTCTCAGACAGCGCAGAAATACTGAATTGAGCATTGAATGCACAAATTCACCCCAAAAATTCAAAAATATCCATCTCGGAGAGTATCCTAGTAAACATAGTCGGTTATATCTTAAGTGAACGGAAATAGATGGAAGAGTAGATGTGTACCTGTATCAGTGTATCGTATCTTAATATTAGCCTAATATTTCTGCTGCTTTCTGTTTTATTATTGGCGCTTTTCCACTGCTTACGGCTCGGTGCGGCTCAGTACGGTTCGGCTCGGTGCGGCACGGTTCGTCTCGCTTCGCTTTTCCACTGCATGATACGACTCGGCTCGACACGGCTCGGCTCGGTGTTAGCTTTCGGTTGCTTTTCCACTGCATTTAGTACCGCTTTAAAGTGGGTGGGATTATAGACTGAACGGTAAAAGCGGTGGCTGTTACTGGCTATTTAAATCTAGCGGGTTTGGTTTCTTGTGTCGATGTCTATTGGTCGCAAATACAATTTACGCTGGTACTGACGATTCTGTCTGACCAATCAGTGATCTGCAGTGTTTCACGTCACATTTAGTACCTGTACGGTACGCTTGGAACCTCAACAGACCAGGTACCATTTAAAGCGAACCGAAACAAGCCGAGCCGTACCGTACCATGGAGTGGAAAAGCACCACAATTGAGCCGTACCGAACCGAACCGTACCGTACCATGCAGTGGAAAAGCACCACAATTGAGCCGTACCGAACTGTACCGTACCATGGAGTGGAAAAGATTAACCATATGTTAATCAAAGAACAAAGGACAAAAAAAAAAAAAATCATTCACTGCTCTTGACTGAATAACTTTTGTAACTTTAAACATGATTAATTTGTTTAATTTAAGCAATGAATACTATCCACTGTTATTTTACATTTGATTACTTCATTCAACTACTCTACAACTACTTTTACTTGTCTTTAATAATGATTCAGGCTAGTAGTTTTAGCTATTGTATCGAAATTTCAATAGAGAATTGTGAATTTTTCGCTGGTATCTAAAATTTTGTTCTGCCTGACAGCCTGTTTTTTTCTTAAGTCACGGCCGTTGGCAGGTGTGGCAAAAAGCCTGTTTTAGGCCCTTCTTTGCAACCACCTAGCAACTGAATTATAATGTGCTAAAAACCCAACGCATTCTCATCCCAAGGCATCATATACTGACGCACATGGCACCCTTTAGCGTCAATATTACACGGACAGAGTATGGGGAGGTTTAGTTCTGGGCTAGGGTTAGGGTTAGACCACTAGAGGCGCCTTCTGGCCCAAATATACAGTAACTCCGTCTCATATTGACGCTAAAGGGTGCCATGTGCGTTGGATGTATATGCATTGTCAAATGTGTCAGTATATGACGCCTTGGGATGAGAACGGACTGAAAAAACACACGGGACGCAAAATCTAGAATTATTTTAAAACACTAGTCCTTTCTGCTTATATTCAGAGTAATTTCTCGTCATTATCGGATCCCATCTATGTGAACAACACACCTACGGCACCCACTGAGGCTACAGATATCCACCATGAACCGATCAACAGAACACTGGATGAAGATGGCCCTGCCTTACTAAGCTACATGAGGTAAACATTTTAGAAATATGCAGCAGACATAGTTATCATTCCACGTGTCTGATCCATGAATCACTTTCTTTTTCTTGTAAAACTTCTGTCTCATCGAGAAAGAGTGTGTGAACCAGTTAGGGCTAAAAAGAAAACATGAGAGCAATTCAGAGCAATGGTGAAACTTCTATCTTAATCTTTCACCCTTTTTCTCAGTAAAAAGTCTTTTCTCATTTAGCACTACTTCGAATTTAATGGAGGAGATCTTCAGCGGGACAGAGTGGGCTCAGTTTTTCTCAATTTGCAGCACCATGCAGGACCAATCAAATGAGCCACAAATCAATATCAACCAATCACGTGAAGAACAACAGAAAAGTAAATGGACTCACAATTACCCAACCGATACTAAACCTGTTTACAACCAAACCAAGATGTCCCAGATGAGTGTTCCTTCATCATATGTTACTGATCTCACCAAAAATACATTACAAACTTCTGACCCGTTTACAAACGTGTTACAAAACGGCAATCTGAAACTCAGTAAATCTCACCACAGTAAGCAATCAAACGAACAATCACAGTTTTCCCAGCTTGATCCGAACAAATCAAAGGAAACTGACCATAGTGATCCACAACTGATGTCTAGTCAAGTACCTGAACCCAACCGAGGTGGGACGGAGGATTTCATACCTCTCTTGGACTTTTCACTCATTAAGGTGAAAGTATAAGCATTAAGAAACAATATTGATTTCTTAGTAATTAGCAACATGTTAGAATATATGTTAATTCTTTCTTATTTCTTTTCCTCGTTTTCTCTCAGCCAATGGCCAGATCGTCCATAAAATCCTATGGATCTATAAGCCGTAAAAGAGAGCATTGGACAAAGAGGAGAGATCCATTTGAACACACAACACAAGACATGGAGGACGAGGACCAGAGCAGCTCTTTAATGGCCACAGAGACTTCAGACTCACCCACGTCTTCACTCAACTCGCTGATGGACTCCATCTCAGTGTCTTCTGTATCTTTGGAGACTGCGGTCAAAAAGGTATGATTTACTACATGACAGAAGAAAATATGCATTCAATAAGCCAGTTTTAAAGTGCCCTATTTGGTCAGATGGCCCAGTCTGTTGTGATTGGTCTACTCTGCTCTGATTGGTTAGATTGTCCAGTCTGTTGTGATTGGTATACTCTGCCCTGATTGGTCAGATGACCCAGTCTGCTGTGATTGGTCTACTCTGTTCTGATTGGTTAGATTGTCCAGACTGCTGTGATTGGTCTACTCTGCCCTGATTGGTCAGATGACCCAGTCTGCTGTGATTGGTCTACTCTGACTGCTGTGATTGGTCTACTCTGCCCTGATTGCTCAGATGGTCCAGTCTGTTGTGATTGGTCAACTCTGCTCTGATTGGTTAGATTGTCCAGACTGCTGTGATTGGTCTACTCTGCTCTGATTGGTCAGATGACCCAGTCTGTTGTGATTGGTCTACTCTGCCCTGATTGGTCAGATGACCCAGTCTGCTGTGATTGGTCTACTTTGCTCTGATTGGTCAGATGGTCCAGCCTGTTGTGATTGGCCTACTCTGACTGCTGTGATTGGTCTACTCTGCTCTGATTGGTCAGATGGTCCAGTCTGTTGTGATTGGTCAACTCTGCCCTGATTTGTCAGATGACCCAACAAAAACATAACAGGGGAACTTGAATCGATATACCTGATTTTTTAATGAAATTAGTATCAGTTTTGTGGTGTAATTTTGATTAAACATGGAAGAATTGTTTAACCGCTGATTAAAGTTTAGGGTGTGAACATAGTTTGTTATTACTGACGCACATGTGTTATGTCAAGATGGTTGTAATTTTAGATGAGTTAATTGTTGGGTGGTGCTGATTTTCAGCGGGTCTTGTGACACTGGCTACTACGATGTAGGTATCTACAATTTTTTTGACAGATTTTCTAAGTCACACTTTGATCATCTTACTTAACATCACACTTAACATCAGCAACCTACACTGCTATGAGGACGATCCTCATTACTTTCAATAAGCATCTACATTACCATTCAATGGTTTGGGAGCAATAATGTTTAAAAAGAAATGAGTACATTTATTCAGCAAGGATGATTGATGCTGTTTTTTTATTTATTTATTTTATAACTCAGCATGGTGTACAAGCAAGAGTTTATCTTTTTAACCAGATTCAACATTTAAATAAACAGGAATATACTGTCATATTTCTGTTTCACAGAAGAAAGTCATACAGGTTTACAGAGAGATACAGTCAATATTGATTATGACAGAATCTTCATTTACAAGTTAACTATCCCTTTAAGTTGAGTTATAGAACATGAACCGGCCTGCAACAGCTGGTCTTTTCAAATGGCGATTCAATTTATGTATCCATTATAAACACATTATATTATTTCAAGCGTAATCATATTGTAACAATAACATCATGTCATTCTTTCTATTCATCTCCCAGAGGAGGATGGAAGGCACTCAACGACGCGTTCGATTCTCTGAGGAGGTCACCATCTTAACACCCACCTACTTGCCAGAGAATGATGATGACGATGATGAAGATGATGATACTGATTGCCCTGAGGAGCCTTCTCCCCGGCCTTCATTTCCTAAGTGGAATATGTCTTTAAAAAGCAAAAGTGCGAAGTACAAATTTTAACTCCCTTTGCATCTGACTCCAGTTCACAAACTGTAAGACTGGCGAGACAGCACAAATAACAGACAATTATGATTAATACATTTATTATGGAAAAAAAAAATCATTTTAATGTGATATGCCAATGCTATATTGATATGCCATTCAATTCAATTTTAAAATAAAAGTGAAATGTAATAAAAATAACAATAGAATTATTTTTTAAGATTAACATTACTTACAATCTCCAAGTCAACAGATTGATAATCCAGCTGATTTAGACTAATATTTCACACTAACCACACAAAATATCCATGAATCCTAAATGCATTTTTAGCTTCTAAGGCATATGAAGTGTATATACTGTACATTTTATTATTTTTTATCTGTTACTTAATGAATAAATTACTGTTCTTTGTTTGTCATTTCATTTGTTGCTGCTTAAATATTGTATACTACCAGTCAAGTAAAAACAAAAGTTGAAGAAGTGAAACAAAAAGGTATAGAGGTTTCAATTTTATGAATATTTTTGATGAATAATTTATCCAATTGGCTCTATAAAAAGCAGAAGCAGAAAACAGGAATAAAGCGAGCATTTTCTTTATAGGCCAAACCAGAGAAAATGGCACCATCTGGTGAAAAATAGTAAACATTTTAATTTTGAAGCTTTGACAACAGAATAAATGCCTATTAACAAAGACTGCATCATTTAATGGCCCTGGGATTAAAAATTGTATGTTGTAATAAAAAAATTTTTTTTTTTAATGGGGTCATTTTTGTCCTTAAGTTCCTAAGTGTTACTATTTTGTGTACCTAGTGTAAAATAGAAAAAAATTCAAAAAAAAAAAAAAAATGCACACTTGAGCCAAAATCAATTAGTTCAGTTTACTTAATTTTATTATGCAAACTCGTTGCCTTAATTTTATTAAGTAAGCATAACTTAATTGCATCAAGTTTTTGTTACTTAATCTAAGTTTTGTCAACTTAATTCTGTCTCTGATCTTAGGAAGTACTCAAACCAGTCAAGTAATGTTTACAAGGTTTTTCTGAGTAACGACGGCATAGCATGCAAACAGTACAGATTACTTCAAAATTTTAAGTAAGTTCAACAAATTATTGGACATTAAGTAAAGTTAACAAAAAAAAATTCTTAGTAAGAACAATGTTAGATTTTACAGTGGCATAAACGTGTGTATTAATGATCACAAAAATGTATAAAAAGCAGCCAACAAGTGTCCAGCAAACATGGAAACTCAAACTCCTTCAAGCCTAAATATAAGATAAGACAAAAGACATTTTTTTATTGTTTAATATTTTTTAGTTATCATCTTGTTATTTCATATAATTTCGATAGTTAGACTTGATTATTATTCTAAATTGTAAAAAAAATAGTAAGGATAAAGAATGAGCAGGTGTTTACAGACATTTGACCTCTGGTGTATAGATGTGTTTTCGGAGGGTTTGAGGCCGAGGGAAGAATAGCTTTACTTCAATGCATTAACAACCCTAAAGCAAACTAAAACAATCTAAGGACTTAAAACAATACTATCTATACTATCTATAGGTATTTATACTATTACTTGAAGAAACTGGAAATAACAAAAAAAAAACCTCTAAATAGTATTATTTGAAAGTCTCATGGGTTTGTTCGGGCCGTGCAGTGACTCACTCCTGTCGTCCAATAGAAAAGGTCCCGGAATCATTTGAGCTCTTCCCCAAAGCTTTGATTGACGCCTGGCTTCCCTGGTAGGGTGTCTTTGACTCCTCCTGTACAATGTCTGACACCTGTCATAAGGGGATAGAAAGATAAGACATCACTCTACTTTATCTCTGCATATATATATATATAAGCAAACTCAAGTCAGAAATAGTCTGGCACCTCTTCAAATTTCTTTGCTTTGTACTCGTCGGCCCCTTTATGGAAGTTGAGAAGGATGATGTCACAGAACACTGTAGCCTGCAAAAATATACAACAGTCAAATATGTATGTTTTTTGTTGTTGTTGCCAGCATTAATCTTTGCATGTCACAATAATCTTACCAATCCCACTGAAGTGAATGCTGCGACCAAATTAATCAGAAATGGCACAGTGGAAAACTTTCCCGCCTGAAAATAAATACGCAAAGTTACACACACTCACACACAAGCCCATGTGTCACAAAAGCTGCTTTATAGGGTGGCTGTACAAAATACTTACATTGCCAGACACTATTATTTCAACACGGATGGCAAAAGCTTTATGAAGCGTTCGATACTCAGCCCCATCTTCGGATTGATAGTATTTAGCAAACCTGAAAGAGACAAAAACAAGATGCAGTTGCAGAAAATCGGGAACGGTGCATGAGTAACCAAGTGTGTTCATGCGCTACCTGAAGTTATATCCTTTAGTTGCTTTGCTGTGTTCAAAAGCAGCATCTAGGCGTGTGAAGAAGTAATTGGGTTTGCAGTTCTCCACATCATAGTCGAGATTACACTTCCAGTTGATGATAATACCAATCTCTCCTCCCTGACAAAACAAACAAACAAACAAACCAGGTAGTCGTTTTATTACATGTGACAAGCTTTCCACATTAAAGCAGATTATTCTATTCATCCCTCTAGGCCAGAATTAAATACTACAGTATTTTTGTAGGTTACACATGACGACTATAAGGCTAAATAAGTAGGTGTGGAAGCTTGTTTGTTTCAGCCACTTGGATTACTGTAAAAAAATAATTGTGATTTTAAGGGTAAAAGACTGTAAAAATGCTTCGGTGGAAAACTGTTAATTGGTTAACAGAAAGTTTCTATAGTACTATAGTACTATACGCGGTAAATAAATGTGATAGATCTCATACAGTTTTACAGTGAAAAACCGTAAATTGACATTCCCACAATTCCCTGGGACACTTCACATTTGATGTATTTTTGTTGAAATAACTGTTTCCAAAAGTTGATTGAAATGGAAAAAGTGAGTTAATACAATAAGGAGATTGATTTAATCATCAGAAACTCAAAATAATATGTTATCTGAACTAAATCAATTATTTAAGTTGATTTGACAAAAGAAAAAATGTTGTGATAACAAATCTTGAAAACATTTTTTTTTACAGTGAGTTTTCTTGTTTTTTTCTAATCAGTTATGTACATTAGGGTTTTGTGTTACATTTAATGTTGTTAAATTAATGTTTATCGCATTTTTTAAAATTTCATGTGTGTTACCATGATGGTGTTTAATGTTTGTGTGAATTATACTGTGCAGCTTCTATAAGGTATCTGATGAAATACGTTTTTTTTACTGTAAAATTTAATTTCAGACCGTAAAACCAATAACATTGCTACCGTATTTTTAACGGTAAAGTTCTGGCAACCACAGCTGCCGTTTTTTTACCGTAAAAAAATACGGTTTTATTTTTTACAGTAATACAGAAAAAACAGTAATATTGTTTTCTATTATTATATAATCTTTGATAAAAATGAAATCTTTCTTTTTAATGAAATTGATCTCTTTTATTAACATGAAAATAGGAAGAGATGAAAGGCAAAGTTGAGTTGACCTTTTCAGCAATCTGGTCCAAACTTTGATTGAGTTGTTTCAGGATATGTCCCACTTTGAAGATCGGACAAAACGGGTGGTCCTTTGGGTCATATGTACATGTCTGAATGTAAGACTGGTCTAAATCCGAAGGGAAATTGCCCCTGTGAAAGTAAGAGAGAAACAGCACATCAGTAGTCTGAAGCAACATTAGGCTATTGATATTATTTGGGCTTTATTTCAAAAGGGCACTATATTGATATTTAGAGCTGTCAATAAATGTAGGGTTGTTTTGAATTTTTATGGAATTATTGACATTAATCAAATCAATCACAAGGTGATTGAACGTTATTATACTATAGTGGCAGATTAATAAACCATTGAATATATGAACAGTGCAGTCAACTTATTGTTTGCTTTATTTTTACACCATTGAATATAAGTCTATCACTTTGCCCACAGTTTTTTTTTTTTTTTTTTTTTACCACAATTTAAAAATAATCAATTTTGGATATATATATATATATGAACAGTATGTCATGACAATTATGTTTTTACATTAACTCGTCAAAAGAGTTATCACAACAGTATAGTTTTTAATCCTTATGCAAAGGCAATAAACTCACCTAGTGACATTGAACAGAGGGAAGCGAATGCTGTTTTTGATGAAGATTGTGAAGTTCTCCACCTCTTTCATTGGCTTTCTAAGAGTGAGCAGATATATATATGAATGTTTCTAGCATTAAAACTATCTATTTTGGATTTACAAGACAACTCCCAATGTATATTTAAATTACAAGTCCAAAAGGTTGCACTTTTTCTTACCCAGGAACTTTGTCATCCTCTGCAGGGCACCAGCCTTCAATTTCACACATTCCTGTACTATTTGTTCCAGTATTGTTTAAGCACTTGCCGGTTAAAATACCTGTACAAATAGGAGAGATGTATCAAGCAACCTAGAAAGTATTAGCATGCTTCTCTGCCATATTTATAGTTACTCGCTGAAGTACCTGAAAAGTAGACCTGAAAGTGATATCAGCCTTAGAAAGAGAACAAACTCACCATTCCCTATATTTGAGCTGTTATTCTTATTGCAGTCATGATCAGTTGTGCAATTAAACTTCTCGTCAGTCTGACAGACAAGGGAACAGTAGAGAGAGAAAGTGTGTAAGTACATAAGGTTGCATATTTAAAGTATATTTAAAGTTAGCTGAGGTTAGGGTGTCACCTCAGGGCACAATCCTTGCGTCTGATTGGCTGTGATGACCATGTTGGTGATGACAGAGAACGATGAAGCACCCTGAAAAAATGAGCAGAAAATTTCACCTCAGACCAAGACTTTGAAGAGAAGGGGGATCCAAAACGTTTCATATATAGTTCAACATTCACTAGGGAGGTTGTGCACTTTACATATAATATATTTATATATAGTTTACTTATAATAATTATATTTTTTGACTTTAAATGTTTTTTTCTATTAAGGTCTATGTAATTGTGTCTCAACTTAACAGTACAAAATCCTAATGTGTTGTCTAAACACAAACCATTTATGTTAAGTAAAAAAATGTGTACATCCAGAGGGTGGCAGTATAGTGCGAGCCGACTGCCATTTTGCCCGAACTTAATTTTATTGTGTTCAATCTGCTTAAATCTACAAACAACTTAAGTTTACTTAATCCGTTTGTGTTGGATTACATGATTGATTTGTGTTGCCTCAACTGAAACTGGGCAGTGCTTTTAGTTCCCAGCATACTTTGCATATGGTTGAATTAAGAGAGAATAAATGTTAAAATTAAGTGTTATTTTATGTTTTTTTTTTTTTTTTAGAAATTTAGAAAAGGGGAAGACTTGATAGTGTGTAATAGTGTTTAATGTTAAATTACATTGGAATTATTAAAGCTTTTAAATTACAGTGGGTTACCATTGTGGAGAAGAGTGGAACATTTTGTTTGGCTGTCGACTGATTTCGTTATTTTCAATTGCTTTGAATGAAGGAGCATGCAAATCTTAGCATTCAAGATGTTAATATGTGCTTCTGCTAGCAAATAGCTAGCTAAAGTCTATCAATTTAATTAAATGTCACTGAATGAAATATAAATGGATGAATGAATATAATAAAATGCCTTTGAATCAGGTCAGGAAGCCTTTAAAAATTCATGTTGAGACTACTTAAATTGGGTAGTTTAACATTACACAATTCCATTATGTTGAAGTTACATAAACAAATTATGTTTGTTTAACGTAATCCAGTTATGTGGAACCTGTTGACAAATTAAAATTAATTAAAGCCAACATATTATTTTTTTTGAGTGCTGAAATGTGCGTTTGCTGACCTGTGATGGAGCTACATAGTCTGCTACGTCCATCACGCGGTTATTGAAGTAGCCCAAGCCCTTCACTTTGGTCATGACCGCAGACTCAATCCCAGTGTCCCGTTGCTGATGTCCTTTTTCATGCATGAACACCCAACTGAAAACACAAACATGCGCACATAACAACAAACCTGTTCACTATTACAGTAACATCTATGATTTAAAAAAAAATACTTTTACCATTCTCTGGCTTAAAAGTTAGTTAGTCATCTTAAATGGGCAATAAACAGGCTATATATAGATAAATGTATAGATGGATGGTTGGATAGATGGATGGAATGGATAGATAGAATAGATAGATAGATAGATAGATAGATAGATAGATAGATAGATAGATAGATAGATAGATAGATAGATAGATAATCAGAGTCATTAACTAATTAATGGTGCACTTACACCCATTTACGCACTTACGAAACAAAACAGAAATAATACATTTCAGCAGTTATAATAATTAGTCCCAAACCTTCATTATTCAAAACATTTAGCCTACATGTACATTTCCAAAGGTTAATTACATTTAATTCGTTTTTCTTTATTTACTAACCCTTAAACCAACATGAATATTTAAAATGAGTTTGAATTAATATTAGCAACAAGGACACAATCACAGCTTACCAGACAAAATACAGAATAATCAACAGCTGGACGAAGCGGTTGATGATTCCAACAGTCCAGTTCTTCACCACAACTGATTTGGCTGTTTCATAGACGAAGAAATCAGTGACGAAGTGCAGCATTTTGGGAGCCATGGTAGAGTGTGTAGTAATGCTAACAAGTGTACGCTGAAGAAAGTCTCGACAAACCAGTGTGTTCCTCACTGCTGTGCGTCTGCTGAATGAGGGATCTTCGAGTTACAACACTTGATGCATTGGGAAAAAAAAATACTTTTGACCACATTTTCCCTCCCCTTTTCACGTTCATGCCTCTCCTCCATCGGACCCCAAGGGGCCTTGGCTGCATTTCCTTAATAGCCTGCTTTGCTCATCTTTTCTCAGCTTTATTTTAGGGAAATGTTTTTTTTTTTTTACAAACCAAACCTTTAATAAATATAAACACATCACTATGTCTAATTGTGAAAACTCTTTACGCATATACTGTAAATTTAATGTATTCCACATTGTGACTCTGTTTCTTCCATTTTGTCTTTGTCATCTTCACCACACATACAGTCACTGTATTCATTACCATTGCTGGTTTAATTTTGCCTCCAAAAATGTACAATCATAACACTTTACGGTAAGGGTACATGAATTATCATGAATTCATGTATATATTAATGCATTCATTCATGCATTAATATCTCATGAATTATCAAGAACTAACACAAGTTCAATATTCTTCATTCATGACTTGAACAACACCTTAATTAAACATTAACTAAGATACGCACATCATCATGAATTATGATTTATTACGCATGATCATGATGTTTTCTTTGTTCTTTGTCTAGTCAGTGAGCTAGTCACCACTTTAGTTGAGGAGCCACACACATGATGAAGTCATTAATAGATAATGCTTAGTTAATGATGACTGACACCATAATAGACCAATCACAGCTCACACAAATCCTGTCAATCAAATACAGAAGTCATCATTAACTAAGCATTATCTATCAATGACTTCATCGTGTGACTGACCCCTTAACTAAAGTGGTGACTAGGTCCTTTGAAACACGGATGAACAATGTGCTATTAATGGTGGCATAACTGTGAACAAAGAAAACGTCATGATCATGTGTAATAAACCATAATTCATGATGATGTGCTCATCTTAGTTAACGTTTTAATTAAGGTGTTGTTCATTCATTAAGTCATGAATAAAAAAAGTTGAACCCGTGTTAGTTACAGATGATTCATGAGATATTAATGCATGGATGAATGCATATTTCATGCATTAATTTATACATGAATTAATGATAATTCATGTACCCTTACCGTAAAGTGTTATTTACGAACCATCATATTGGTAAAAAGTACATTTTTCCTCATTTTAGAAACGCTGGCATTTTTAGAAATGCCTCATTTTAGAAGAAAATTTCAAATGCCACTTAGAGGCTTTTGCATCTGAACTCTTCATATATAGACATAAATAGACATTTTGTTTTGTTTTACAACTCTCATGTTCTCAGATATGGTATTTGTAGGTTTTTTTTTAAATTAAGGTGAATGTTTTATAAAAAAAATATTGCTGGTCTCTCCAACTTGCACTAATTTAATCCAACACGACAGCTGCGTCCGAAATCGCATACTCTCTTGCGTAGGTTCTTATTTTGAATAAGTAGGCTAATTACTTCACGACCATTAAAAAGTGCGTTCTATATCCTCCTGAGACCCAGAAAATTTTTTTTTTAATTTATTTTTTTTTCATGTCATCACATTGTTTAGAGCATAGGAAACAAATGGCAAAAAAATTATATTTAGTTCATATGTTATACTATGTCCTCTGTGGACACCAGGACTCAGTTGTTAAAGCAATTAAATGACATAAAATTATATGTGTATGCAAAAACAATGGGATTTTTTTTTTCAATCACCAATACAGTTTGGGGTTTTTCCAGATTTTTTTAAACCAAAATTTGTATAAAGATGATTCTCAACTATGTTATGAAAGATATAGAGTAATTAATTGATACACTATTTTACTTTATGCAATATGTGGGTAAAATGGGCATTAATTAATATTCCCATTCGATTCAATGTATCTAATTTGCACATTAATGTGTTCTTGGAGCAACATTTAGTGAAAAAAGAAGTGTAAGAATTGGAGTAATAATAAGCAACACTTTAATAATAATATCTAATATGTCATAAGAATATTGATGTATAATTCATTTACATATTCACTTGTTATGTCTCCCAGAATGCTTGATAAACATGATTTATGTCCTGATGTCCTCTACAGTAGTATGAAATCAATGCCCTGTTCTGTAACAGAAACAGAAATTTTGACTTTCTGACTGAGATGTTGGCTGATGAAATACAGTTTGAAAAGTTGTTCGATTTAAATTATAATTACAATATATTATCATATTTCCATAAGAGTGCTAAATTTGATCACTAAATTAATGTTAGGCATTTTAAAAGACCAAGGAGAAGTTGTTTTCATGGTGAAACCTCCAAACATTTGGTATCTCTGTATTGCCCTGAATGTGCTCTTTACAGGACATCCAGAAAAAAAACTGTGACATGCATGGCGTCAGAGAAATACACTAAAACACAATGTCCACTACAGTGGACAAAAATGTATTCCTAGGTCCCAGGAGGATATAGTATGAATGTGTGTAGTATGAATATAATCCGGGCGTACTACATTCGTCATGTTGTCATTATTATGTGACCTGCGTCAGTTGTGTCGCTTTCTACCATTCACAAATCCTCTCCCGTGTCCTCATGGGATAGTAAAGTGTCCATAAAATGCACACTTTAGAATCTCGCTGGAACAATAGGTCATCCGGGTACTTTTTGCCGACTCTTTTATGAGTACCCTGAATTTGGACATAGTACATTTGTCACATAATGTTTTTCGCCTAGGGAAGGCCAGTCCGTTCTCATCCTTTAACGTCCTATAAGGCCTATATTCGATTTCAGATGCAACCATTCTTATGGCAATTCTTAACTAATTTTTTTTAAATATTAATCCGTACGATATGTTTAGGAGGATCCATAATGCTTTTTTCATTTTCTAAAAATCGTATGTTTTCGTATGAAAACGGCACCTTGCGAAATGACGTTTTCCCATGAGTTTAGGATTTGTAAACTGTAATGCCATTCGCCATTTGCTATACTGTAGGCTACTCCAGACAGGTTCCCTTTACAAACAAGATGATGAGAACTGCCAATCACTGAGTATTGTATCCCGCTCTATTTGACAAAGAAAATTTATAGGTAGCCTAGCGTTTGACGATTTATGCGTTTGACAACGTAAATATAGGATCAAAGTGACAAAAGATAAAATAAGGCTGCTCGCCATTATACTGCCTAACCCATTTACTGATGGATGCTGCTCTGGCCTGGAAATTTCTGGAATCGTTTGCAAATTGTGTCCACTTAAAATGAAGATCACATTTCCTCATCACTGAAGAGAGCCCATTATGTTTGTGGTCAATTACGATGTCACGTCATCACCAACTGAAAGCTTTCGGAGAAGCATTTTTGAGTGGACACAACTTCCCATAAATTACATATGTGTGGAGCACTGGCATTATTGATATCCCACATGGCACAAAAATTGCATTATGCTTCAAAGACGACATACAACTGCACCCATGAGAAAGAACAGAAGTTTGACATAGCGAGAGAGGATATTGTTTCGTTTTGATTTATCTTTTTTTTATACAGGCTATACCTATATCATGTATACAGTAATGTTACTTAAATTTTATTTTAAATCATATTAAAAAGACATCAGAAATGAGGAGAGAATCTTCTATTTAATTTTACTGTACATCTCTTACCCCTTTTTATCAAACCACACGTTCTTTTCAACTTGCGTTTGCTTTTGCCAGACCACATATCTTCACTGAAGGACTTCTGCTGTATTAAAAGCCACAAGCTCTCATTGTAAGCCATTACTGGTACTTTATACCCCTGATGGGGTTCATTTACTTGGCTTTCAGTGCTAACAAAATCCTTTTGGAAAGGGCTATTGGTTGAGTCATCTCAGATGTTTGTGCTTTGTGGGGACAATGCCTTCCTACTTAAGCAGGTTTAATGTTCTGTAATTTTTCCATGACAGGATAAGCTAGGAGACCCCCATCTGTCTATCTATCGATTGCAGGGATTTGTTCAGTTGGCTAATTTACTTACAGTAACACCCAACCACTGTTTGGGATAATGAACAGTTTCAGCCCATTCTGCGTCTAACCCTAACCCTACCCCAGACCTAAACCTACCCACGTCATCTAACTGACGCTTTACCTTTAGCGTAAGTTAGATGACGCCCTAGGATTGTGTCATGTAACTGACGCTAAAGGGTGCCTAAAGCGTCAGATGTTGAAGCATGGTCAAAATTGTCAGTTAGATGACGCCTCGTGATGAGAATGCGTTGACAGTTTGCCTAATCAATGCAGGGGCGCTCCTGTAAAAAATAAAGTGGGTGAAACTTCCGGTGAGGCGGCGGAAGTAGCATTCTAACGGTATTTTGTGTGTTTAGTTAGCGAAGATGCTAGCTGTTTTTCGGAGAATCATTTTACTATTTAAAGACGCAAATCTTAATGAGAGATGTCGTTACGGAGCTCAGGGACAACATGTGCTGTTCGCGGTTTTATGTATAACCGGACTAAACTAATTCAGTGGCTTAAACGTGATTGTTTTGAACATAAGCTGAAAACGAAATCAGAGTGATCCTGCCAGAGCCCGTCTCTGATCCTGCCAACGACTGTAGTTTCCATCACCTCCCAAAAGACGACGAATCTTCCTGTGTACATTGGTTTAAATTCTTAATATTCTATAAACTCTATCAGCATGTGTTTGGCTGTTCGCTACTGATGTTACTCCTAAACTCAGGATCAAAGCCTGTGTTGACAGAATACCAAATGTGCCAGTTAATGTATTCAAGTAGCACATTCATTTATAATTTTGAATAAACACCAAAGCACAATGACTAAGTGTGTATTTTTTATTTTAATTGTTTGTCAGCTCACACAACTGTCTGTCACCATGCCTTGATGAGTATTGATTATTAATAATGTTATTATAATACTCCCAATCAACTACTGCGGAGGGTAAAGGTACTATTATTTGACCCTTTTGAATTTCGTTGAGGTTGTGTTCCCACATCGTTAGCTAGTTTGGATCGCTATAACTTGAATGACTGTCAGCTGTTGAATGAATGAGTGTCAAGCATGTCAAATCGCGCTTTGTTTACTTCCAACCGGAAGTCGCGCCCACTTTTGACGCAAGGCCTCATGGGGCGTAGGAAACTTGTGCATACAAAAAACTAAAAACGACATTACATTGCCCCCCCCAAAAAAAAAACATCTGTGGTTTTATTATTTTTTCCTGTGTATTCAGGATTTCATCCTTCTTTTACTATACCAACTGCTAGTGGAAGTAAAAGAGACAAACTACTGAGCAAAAAAAGGTTAGTTTCTTCATAAGATTAATAACAGTAGGCCTTTATAGCCTATTTATTGTTTTAAAACTGAAATTAAGTATTGTGAGAGCAGCAATGTAACGCACACAGCTGGGGTACCACCAAATAAACATGAATGGACGTCAGAAAGTTGAAAATATACAGAAATGTACAGGTATCTTCATGTCTCGTCATCGTTCGTTCAATGAGTTTTTAAACCGCGGAAAGACGAGAATAAAGCCATAGCCATTCGACCATAGCATGTTAGTTTGTTGGAAAAATAAACTCTAGAGAGGAGCATTTTGCTATTACATATGTTTTAACTTTTAAATCAAAGATGTTATAAAATTATGGTACTATAAAAACATAATATGAATTGTATAATGTATGAATGGGTTCATTTTAATCTTTAATAATTAATACCACCTGACATGTTTCCCTATTGTTTAAAGCTTTGGTTGAGAGAGATTTGTTTCCTTGAGAAAAATTAACATATAGGTCTGGAAATTGAATCGCAAGCTTAGGCTGTATCGAAGTTTTTTTTTTTTTTTTTCTCAAGGGATTTAAAACATATTCAAGTGGGTTTAAATTGTCCAAAAGTTCACTTTTACAGCCTTGTAAGGTTAATACTTAATCCTCTACTGCATGCGTTTTGATGGCACATTCCATTATATTCCACATCATTTTTTGACTAATTTGGAATTGATTTATTGAAAATGTTCCCTCCCTCCACGAAAAATCCCAGAGCGGGGTCAACTTTCAGCAGAGTCAATAGCTACAGACCTCCAAACTTTGTGTGGCCTTCAGATTAGCTAAAGACCAGTGCGTAGAAAGCATCAAGGAATGGGTTTCCATGGCCGAGCGGCTGCATTCACGCCTTGGATGCAGTGGTGTAAAGCACGCCGCCACTGGACGAGTTCTCACACTTCTCTCTCTGGTGATCTCATGGACGAGTCTGGGCTTGGCAGTTGCCAGGACGATGTTGCCTGACTACATTGTGCCAAGTGTAAAGTTTTGTGGAGGGGGGATTATGGTGCGGGGTTGTTTTTCAGGGATTGAGTTTGGACTCTTAGGTCAAGTGAAAGGAACTCCTAATGCTTCACCATACCAAGACATTTTGGACAATCTCATGCTCCCAACTTTGTGGGAACAGTTTGTAGATGGTTCCTTTCTGTTTGCGGTCACTGACTTTGGGTGTTCCTGTGCACCCAGGAACCCTGCATCTTCTGTTCTTGGACAAATACTCTTAATTTTCCGATCCAATTTGACTTGTAATGCTGCCCGAATCACATACTGTTCCTTCGTTGGCCAGAGGAGAAATAGCCCCCGACTGAGCCTGGTTTCTCCCAAGGTTTTTTGTTTCCTCCATTCAGTCAGCTGTTGGGAGTTTTTACAGAAGAGACTTCTTTTAAAAACATAAAAAATCTTACCGATCTAAAACTTTTTACCGGTTGTGTGTGTGTGTGTATATATGTATATATATATATATATATATAAAGACGGAAAGAGTCGTAGGACTCAGTGATAGTGACGCTGAAGTCACGTGATCTGTGATGTAGTGAGTTTACAGCCTACGTTTAGCTTTCTTCTAATAATGTAATGTACCGTTTTTGATTTGGGACTCAGGGTCAAATGAGATGGACGATAGGTTAAAACTGCTAATGCTTTGTGGCCAATTTTATCTGCATAAATGTAAAGTCAGTGATTTTGCGTCAATTAAAGTTAAAGGGTTAGTTCATCCAAAAATGAAAATTCTGTCAGTATTTACTCACCCTCATGTTGTTCCAACCCCGTAAGACCTTCGTTCATCTTCGGAAAACAAATTAAGATATTTAAGATATTAACATCGCTCCTGCATACTAGTCCATAGGCTACTTGAGGGAATGACAATTAATGGCATCTAAAAGTCATTAAAGACATCGTTAAAATAGTCCAAGTGACTACAGTGGCTCAATCTTAACTTTATCAAATGACGAGAACACTTTGTGCGAAAAAACAACAAAAATAATGACTTTATTTCAACTATTAGTTTATTTCTTCCTCTGCCTCGAGTCAGGTTACTAGTTTAATAGTGTAAACTTCTGTTATTGTACGTCACACGCATCACACACACATGACCAGCGTCGGCCAATAGTGAGCCTACGTGTGACGTAGCTCTACGCTATCACACTGTGTTAACTGACTAGAGGCGCACAGAGAAGGAAGTGAATAGTTGAAATAAAGTCGTTATTTTTGTTTGTTTTTTCGCACTAAAAGTATTCTCGTCGTTTGATAAAGTTAAAATTGAGCCACTGTAGTCACTTGGACTATTTTAACGATGTCTTTAATGACTTTTAGATGCCATTAATTGTCATTCCCTCAAGTAGCCTATGGACTAGTATGCAGGAGCGATGTTAATATCTTAAATATCTTAATTCATGTTACGAAGATGAACGAAGGTCTTACGGGGTTGGAACAACATGAGGGTGAATAAATACTGACAGAATTTTCATTTTTGGGTGAACTAACCCTTTAATGACTCTCTTTGTTCATCATTTAACAAGAAATCAGTTGATTTAAAAAAAAAAAAGTACTTTATAACCTTGCTCTACTTCTAGTTTCCTATGTTAAGTGTTTTTGGCGTGATGTATGTATCCCGTTAGCTTGTAAGTTCTGTCAAGTGAACTTTAGTCTTACATTCAAGTTGTTCATTTGTGAAGATTATCATGAATAAAACATGCAAAAATTATAGGCCTTTGTTGGTCCGTCTAACAGATCCTTTTTTCTGTAATAATCTAAATGTCAATGAAACAAAAATCCTGTTGGGTTTTTGTTGAGGGAACCAGGGTCATGCCAACTGTTAAAACACACCTGCAAACCATGGCGGGGAAATATTTTGTGTGCCACAATAGTGTAACGCTTAGTTCACATGCGTTTTGTACACCCTCATTTAACCACTCACTGGCATATTTACTCAACAATCGTATATTCTTATATTCACCAGCTTTTAGCACAGTTTAGTGCAATGGTTCCCAACCCTGGTTCTGGCTGTACTACCAAATGCCAATTCCACTGAACAGTACACTGACTTCAGCACCGCCTTAAAGGGATACTCCACTTTTTTTGGAAATAGGCTCATTTTACCACTTAAACAGTTGAGTTTTACCGTTTTCGAATCCATTCGGTCGATTTTCTGATATTTAGAAGAATATCAGTAACCAGACAGTTTCTGGTCACATTGACTTCCATAGTATATTTTTTTCCCTACTATGGAAGTCAATGAGAGCAGAAACTGTCTGGTTACTGATATTTCAATTCAAAGAGATGGAAACTGATAGAAAAACACAAAGGCTTAAAAGATGCCTTACCCTGTGGTACATTAATACCACAATTGTTTAACTCTGGGGGAGTTGTAAAATGAGCCTATTTCCAAAAAAAAAATAAAAAAAGTGGAGTATCCCTTTAACAAGCCAAACATAGAAAGTCTTCGCCATAGAATAGAAAATGTCCTATATATATATATATATATATAGGGTTTACTTGAACCACACACACACACTTAATCACTCACTGAACTTTTATTGCAAAACAGTGATTAACAATTTGATAGCTAAAAATACAAAACATGTTAATGAAATAAACAAAACATTTACTGAAGTGCAGTCTTTCCATTTTGAAAAAAAAAAAGAAAAAAGAAAATCCTGAACAAGCAGGTCTATCCACACTTCCCTGAATCATGACAGTCTACCAAAACCGGAGAAGAGTAAAATAAAATAAAAACCGGAGAGTTCTTGTGTCACTCTCAGAGGAGGGAAAAATGTTACCGGACTATTTCCAAGTTCTCAGTCTGAATGGAAAAATATGTGAAACAACGTGCGTGGAGCGCAAACAGCATGGGAGCAGAAAGTCTTGGTCCAAGTACTCATCAATTATTCATTTGTGAAACCTGAGATGTGGAAATGTCTTTGTGCCGTCAGTGACATCAGTCAGACCCTGACTCCTCTGAGCTGGCTGGTGTGGAGGCGGCTTCCTCTTCATCATCGTCATCAGAAGCCTGCAATAGATAAAGACAGGTTAAATGAATGCGAATCTAAATAACTGATAAACCCAAGAGGAAACGCATCATTCACACACCTTGCGTTTGCCGCTTCTGTCGTTGTCAGATTCAGATGAGCTCTCCTCGCTGGAGATGAACTCTTTGCTCTTAAAGCTCTCGTTTCCACCTTCTTTCCTTTTCTCCTTTTCAGCTACACTCTTTTTCTTAGCTTCCACCTTCCCTCCTTTCTTTTTCTTTTCCCTAAAAGCAGAAGCGATGACAGTCAATATAAGTAACACTCAGTTGATTTCATTATATATTAATTCACCAAGAACACATTAAACTGATTAAAAGAGTAAAACGTTTCGAATTTTAAGATTTCAAAAGGTTTCTCTCACATAAATACCTTCTATTCATCAAAGAATCCAGAAAATGTCTCAGGATTTCCACCAAAATATTAAGCAGCACAACGGTTTATAACATTGATAATAGAAAGAAGTGTTTCTTGAGCAACAAATCAGCATATTAGAACACACTATGTACAAAAAAAATTATAATGTATGATTCATCTGGTGAGTTCTTGGTATATGTAATATCTTGCCTGATACAACACAAAGAATCATGTTAAAGGATTTTTGCACACTAACAAAGTGCGTGTTTGAGATTTAGAGATAGTTGACTCACTTAGAAACAGATGCCGCTCCTCCCCCTCCACTCTTTTTGTACTCATCCATGGCTTTCACGTATTGTTTCTTGGCCTCTTCTGCTTTTTTGTCCCACTCCTGCGTAAACACACAAGAGACATTTAGCTAAACATACTGCTGAATCATATAAACAACAAGTCAATTGACTCTATAACAGCATCAGTTTATGCTTCAATCATCCGTCTGCAGGACGATAAAACAACCCACAGACAAATGATTCAGTAAGTGGCTGATGAATGTATTCAGCGGTGCAGAAACCACTCTGCATATGCAGGAAAGAAAGTAACTTTCCTGAAAACTAGACTTCATGCATAAAACATGGAACTTGCCACAGAACTAAAGTCATTAAACAATGCGTTTTGATTGAGGAAGTCAGGGTTGTGCTAGCCTATACGTTTTAAGAAATGTTAATGTTTTAACTGACCACTGATAATGGCACTGTAATGTGTACGTGCTGAATGTTGATGGCCATTTTCCTTAAATCGAATCTCAACACATTTTCACTCTAAAGGTGGCACAGACTAGTATTGTTACAACAAAACTATTGTTTCGATACCGATACCAAGTCAAGAAATGCGATTTCGATACTTTTCCTGAAAAGGAAAGTAGGCCATTTCTTACAAGGCGTTTCACGTGCACGCCCTCTGCATAGGTCTGTGCTCTTTAAATGCTGTAATAACCTCATATAAATAAATCACTGACACACATGGACATGCTCTGATTATAATCATATAGTCTATAGATCATTTTTGCTGACGTTTTGTATCCTTTTTAGCAGATTGCAAATTATTTATGTTATCTATGAAATTTGGGGGGAAAGCAGAGAATTAATTTAGTTGAAATAAGAGATCTAGCGCTAAGATCTGTTGTCTTTTAAAGGTACAATATGTCTATCATCCAAGATGTCGATGTCTTTCTTTCTTCAGTCGAAAAGAAATGAAGGTTTTTGATGAAAACATTCCAGTATTTTCTCTATATAATGGACTTCAATGGGAACCAAACTGTTCAAGGTCCAAAAGACACTTTCAGTACAAACTGAAAAACTCGTTTATCAAAATGATTCATTTCATTTGGTTCATTCAACGAACGAAATGAACGAGTTGACTCGAGAAAAGATTAGTTCATTTTGACGAACGAGTGCAAATAGGAAAGTCACGAACGCTTGATGAGACCCTTATTCATCGTCTGGAATCGTTTAAAGCCCTTTGAACAGTTTGCAGTTTGTACTGAAACTGTCTTTTGGACCTTGAACCGTTTGGTTCCCATTGAAGTCCATTATATGGCGAAAACACTGGAACGTTTTCATCAAAAACCTTAATTTCTTTTCGACTGAAGAAAGAAAGACATGGACATCTTGGATGACATGGGGGTGAGTAAATTATCAGCAAAAGTTTTTTTTAAAAGTGAACTACTCCTAGGGATTGTGAAGACTTTTTGTTTATTGGGTGTGTGATTTTAATGCAGCTGACCTCTTTCCTGTCTTTGCCCAGCTGCTTCCACATTTCTCCAGCCTTCTTGGAGATTTCAGTAACCGATATCCCAGGATTCTCACTCTTGATGCGTTCTCTGTTGCCGTTCAGCCACAGCATGTAAGCGCTCATCGGCCTCTTAGGAGCAGCTGCGTCTTTCACCTTTTTCTGTTGGCCACAGAGAGAGGAAGTGAGGTTTAATAAAGTGCACAAGCTGGGGGAACGTGGGTTTCGTTTTCTGATGCCAGTAAAAGTATTAAGGTTATTTTTTCACAGTGAGGTTTATCGCGCGCACTTTCACCAGACAAAAACAAACAGGCATGGTGCATGTGCATCTCTCTGATGTGTTTACTCTTTAAGACAAACTGATATTTAACGTAAATACTGATATTTCAGATTAATTAGTGATAAGTTGCAAAAAAAAGGTCCAAGACCTCTTTCCGTGGTTTTCTCTCTTTCTTCTCTTTCACCACTTTCTTGGGCTTCTTTTCAACTTTTTTCTTCTGTCCTTCATCTTCACTGTCACCATCCTCTCCCTCGCTGGCACTCGCTGAAGCGTTACTGTCATACCTGCACACACACACATATTGTTAGAGTGAAAGATTGACAAATCATCTAAAAATCAAAAAAAGAAAAGTTTAAAAGCCCTTACTCTTCTGGGACGTCGTCATCCTCTTCCCCAGGGTTGAAAGACTCATCTACAGGAAGATATTAGATATTAAATACAACAGAATTCAACATATTCCACTAACAACTTACAATTTGAGGATCCATTACTTGACTTAAGCATCATTAAATTTTCTAAAAAATTAGTTTTTACATGATCATTTTGTAATTATTATTTTATACTGTATTCTTCTTAAATTGATTTGATAACATGAGTTCATTTTGAAATAGCGCATTAGTGTCCGCCCACTTTTTAAGTGCCGGCACCTACACGTCATGAAGCAATTATTAAATAATTAATTTAATTATCAATCACATCAAACTATTTTGTAATCCTACTAGCCCATTATTTAGATTAAAAAACATTATCTTTAATTTGGTGAGGAACATAGCGTTTTGAGTAGCATTTGTAGACCCTTTCCTGCTGTTGGCCATATGACACTGAGCAGACGCATATTGCAGTATTAAGGCTAATGATTAATTGATTAACTGATCATTAATTTGAACGACGATCGATCATGGGAATTTGTGAAAACTGACATCCCTAATTACAACCCATTAACAAAAGAATTCATTTTAGAAGAAAAGTTACATATAGAACCTTTAAATTTTAATGCAATTGACAATTTAGTGAACTGATATTCAGTTTAAATATGACGTAATCTTTAACTGTGCCCCACATTTTGCGTACCACAAAATTTCCCACCATTACAAAAAAAAACAAAAAAAAAAACAAAAAACTGTTGCTTAAAAAAGCTGTTTTTTAATTAATAATTTGGGCTTTTTACAGCATAAAGGGATGACAAGTAAATCTCAATCAGATTTACACAATGGCAGTGAGGTGGAAAATTTAAACTATATATATTAAACATCTAACCTAATTTAACATCTAACATTTGAACAGAATGTACTGTACGAAACCAATGGAAAACTTGTGACATTGAGTGTGTGTGTGTGTGTGTAAATAACAAATTGGGAAATGAAACTAGACAGGTGTCTAAATTCAAAACTAAAAACAGAGTTTGGTTATCTAGTAACCAAAGGGCTTGTCAATGAAAAACCAATCAAATTAAGTAATGTTTCATGTCATTTTGCCATACCACCTTCTATAAAACTGTTGTATTTGTGTTTACTCGAGGGATTCTTAATGGGATTTGTCTGAGATCCACCCACCAAGCTTATTACTTCTTTTTTGGGAGATTCTCCGAGAACTGCTCGAGACTCCCGGCCGTAATAAAGAACATTAATAATGGACAGTACACTCTACACTGACTATACAAATCACAACATGTAAAATAAGAAAATGTTAGTGCTATTTTGTCACTTTTTGGGATTACTATGCTAGCTGTAGCCATTTACATCCAGTCTTTGTGCTAAGCTAGGCTAGCAGTGGGTGCGTCAGAGAGAGTTACAGCCGCACGGAGATGAAAAAGGTATGTATGGACTTATCTAACTCTGGGGGATATAGTGAATAAGCTAAAGTCCCAAAAAGTTGGAGTGCTCCTTTAAAGCTGCGCAGCAAGAGAACAAGTAAGTTAGATTATCGGCTCTGGGCGATATAGTCGACTGGAGACTCGCTGATGTGTGAACGTTGCTAACGTCAATTATACTTAGACATGCTAGCGTATAATTTATACTAGAATAGCTACCTAAAAAAGTTATGTTTGAGGATAGGAAATCGATAACAGCAGTGTTGACTGCATTAGTCAAGCTCAAGTTTCAACCTAGTAACCATAAGTAATAAGATCAAACTAATATTTTTCTTTAAACATTTGTTTGAATTTATAGGAAATAAGTTAAAGGGTTACAAAAGATGATATTTAGAAAAATATGGGTAACCAAACAATTGATGGTCCCCATTGACTTCCATAGAACGGAAAATCAACTGTTTGGTTATTGACATTCTTTAAAATATATTAATTTGTGTTCAACAGACGAAAGAAACTCATACAGGTTTGGAACAACATGTGGGTGAGTAAATGATGACAGAATTTCCATTTTTGGGTGAAAAATGTAGCACCTACCAACCCAATACGTTGTCTCTCTCTCAAATTTGATGTTTTACCAACAGAGGATCACAAGAAATATTTCCTCAAGGTAAAGCACCAATTTAATGTATTGAAAAAGAAAGTTGGCATTTTGTGTTTTAGTTGTGGTGTGTCATTACCGCTATCGCCCTCGGATTCATCGCTGCCGTCTCCCTCCTCTCTGATCTTGCCCTCTTGTTTCATCCTCTCCAAGTAAGCGTCATGCTGGTCTTCATCAGAGTCACTGTAGCCTTCTCCTCCTTTCATGCCCTAGCACACACAAACAGTTCGATAAATCATGCGAATCAACACATTACTGGGTATAATGCTGCTGCTGTCCATAGGAAGTTCATGTAGTAAAAGTGTCGCCATCAGGGGCACTTTAGTATAAACACACACAGAGTCCAGATCATAGAATTAGAGGTCCAAACACACTTCCTGCTTATTCCCAAGAGTGCGAATCCATCAACAGAATGGATTGTTTATTTAGTTAAGACCAGTTTCGTACTACGCATTCATCCATGCGTTAACGCTGCATACGTGTACATTCGGGTGTGCCCTGAGAAAAAGCTCCTAACACAACTTATTCAATTATAACTCAAATGGATTGACTTGAACAAAACATGATCACTAACACCTATCAGAACAAGCGCAACCTCAAGGAAATAAGAAAATTAGGAAATGAAAAACATCACAGGTTGTTTCCATTCACTTTTGTGATTAAAGCAGTATTGTGATCAAGATAAGTCATAATTACAATAATGTGATTAAGCAGAGTACTCATTGTACAGCAGTTATGGTTACTGATGATTAATTGCATTACAAGGCATGGAAATGTAATTGCATTTCTGCTCTGAACAAAGTGCTAATATGGCACTCCTGCAGATTTATGACGTCTCGCACTCAGGCGCCGGTTTGAAAGCATGGAGGAACAGAAGAAGCCAAACTCATACAAACACGCATACGTTTTAATGGTCCTCAAGGTTTTATTCAAGGTTTATTATTTTAATATATTTTAAAAAGTAATGTATTCCTGTGATGAAAGCTGAATTTTCAGCATCATTACTCCAGTCTTCAGTGTCACACGATCCTTCAGAAATAACTCTTATATGACGATTTGCTGCTCAAGTTATTAATAGGGCTGGGTATTGAGACAAATTTCACAATTCGATTCGATTGTTTTGGATATCAGTTACAATAAATGGCCATTTTTCTCAAGGAAATCAAATCTCTTAACTAATGCTGTAAACTATGGGAGTCTAGTTGTAGCCTATAGACTTCATTAGCCTAATATAAAGGTAATAATTAACAGTTTTGTAGCTATACAAACACTTAAATTACACTTTTATTTATTTTTATAATAGAATGGAAGATTATATGAAATATAAGCATTTAAATGGTGGCTGTCATAAAATCTTGCCACATTTATTCAAATATGCATTAAATATTGAAAAACATTAAGATTATAATGCATATGTAGTATGGTGTATATATTTAGCAAAATGCTCCTCTCTAGAGTTATTTTTTCTAGCTGACTAATGAGTTGATGTGGGTTTTCTGAGGTAAATATGACGATACATGACATTGATTACAAGCTGTTTAACTGACGTCTTTCCAAGGTTGAAACGCTGATTGAGCGAATCAATGTGACATGATACGGATTTCGATAAGTTGTACTCTATCTTTTAACACACTTTCAGATGCTCATTCATGTTTATTTCGCGCTGTGACTGGTATTATTAAGCCGGAAGAGAGATCAGCGCTGCAGAGCGATCTCACGCCACAGCGCCAAAACGTTATTTATGTTTTTGAATTTCAAAAAAAAAATGGACGTAATTTGAAAATTGAGACTTTGTTTCATATCAATAGTAACAAATGACAAAGATTATTGCGATTTTTTGGATGTGTGCAGCCGCGATACAATGATCCGTTCATTCAAATGAAACAGGATGACTAATCGATTCTTGAGATTTAAGAATCGATGTCGGTTCGTAAAAATGAGAATCGATTAATATCGAGAAATCGATATTTATTACCCAGCCCTAGTTATTAATGTCGAAAAATGTTGTGCTGCTTAAAGTTGTGGAAACTGAGGGATTCTTTGATTAATCAAAAGGTTAACAAAAAAGTACGTTTGGAAAAAAAATGTTTTGAAACATTATAAATGACTTTAATGTCCCTTTTGAGAAATTAATGTGCCCTCGCAGAATAAAAGCTACATTCATTTGCAAAATAAATAAATAAATAAAAAAAATATATATATATATTGGTGATCCTAATCTTTCAAACGGTAATGCAAGTCAAAATAATTTCCTTCCTTTAGTGAAAAACTGTAGAATTTTTATTTTTATATAAATTCTTGCTCTAAATATAATTTGCTTCCGGCAGCTTGACTTTTCCATACAGCAAATGCAGACATATAATATTTAACTGTAATGCAATTGATTTTGATTATAAAGCATAGACTGTGCATAATTATTTTGTGCATTTTGGCTCAAACCCAAAATGAATGTTTGAAAACAAAACATACCTCTTTAAATCCTCTGTTCTTGATGTTCAGTTTCTTGGCATTGACAAAGTCGAAAAGCTTTCCATATTCTTCCCTACACAAGACAGAAGAGACGTGATCGTCATTTGTGAGGACAGGAAAGACTTGACGCTTATGCCTAGTTAATAATAATAATTCATTACATTTAAAAGGCACTTTTCTAGGTACTCAAAGCACTTTGGGGGGAATCTCCTCAACCACAAATGTGCAGCACCACCTAGATGATGCGATGGCAGCCATAATGCGCCAGAATGCCCACCACACACCAGCTTACTGGTGATAAAGCCAATCAGTATATGGGGATGATTAGGAGGCCATGACGGACAGAGGCCACTGGGTAAAAATGGCCAGGATGCTGGGGTTACACCCCTACTCTTTTTTTGGAAGGACATCCTGGGATTTTTAATGAACACATGAAGCCAGGACCTCTGTTTAACGTGCTTTTTGACAGTATGGTGTCCCCATACTACATTACCCACGTGCTTTTTTACTACACACCACTGTCGGTTTTTTTTTTCGGGTCGAATTTTTGAGTTTCGATATCTCAGCTCTGGAAGGGTCTAGAGCCTCCATTTTTGCACTCAGGTCTAAGTCTCAGTGTAGGGATGGGTGTCCCCATCCCTACACTGGGGCATTAGGACCCACACAGACCACAGAGTGATCGCCCCCTGCTGCACTCACTAACACCTCTGAGTCTCCCATCCAGGTAATGACCAGACTCAACCCTGCTTAGCTTCAGTGGGACACCAGTCTTGGGCTACAGGCTAATATGGCTGCTGATCAGGACAGGCTGCTGCAAACTGCAGAAATGTTGAGAAAGACATTCTCTCTTATGATTGAGAGATGAAGGACACTGCCGTCTGTGTTTTCTAGTGCAAAGTATGATGGTTTGTGGGTAATAGTTAAGTAGTTAAGTTCACCTCTCAATGTTGCTGAAGGTGAACTGGTTTTTCTGCTTGGTCTCTATTTCGAAGTCAAAGGAGCGAGTGGTGGTTGTTCCTCTGGCGAAGTTAACGCAGGAGATCTCCTCGAAGCGCAGGTGAACCGGTGGCTTGTGCACATAGATAAAGCCTCTTTCCAGAGGATACAGCAGCCCTGAGCTCGCCTTGTACGCACACGTTATACACTGAGACCCGGAGTGACTACACACACAGAGAGACAAAAACTGACATCAGTAAAGACATTTCATTTCAAAACTTGATCTTGACAAGAACTATGAATATGAGAAATATGGGTGGGCAATATAAGCAATTTATATTCACAACATTTTGGCAAACATTTTTTGTTACTATATGTAATAACAAGGTCAGACAAGGAGGGTAACTTTATAGTAAACATTTTTTTTTTCATGTTTAATACTTTAAAGCTAATTGCTTTAAAGCAATCTATTATATAAAGCAAAGCAAAAAAGGCAGTGGCTATTTGCACTATATTTTCTTAGCAATAGATTCAATTTAAACTGTAAAAAGACCAGTATTTACTTTGCAATAAGTGATATTAGCATCTAACTACTATTTAAAGTAAAAATAGTATTAGTTTCTTCAGTGTTTCCGCATCGTTGGCCCTAGTCGGACGCTGTTGTTTGGCCGATTCAACCACAATAGAAATAATACTAGAATATCGCCCACCCCTAATGAGAAACAGAAAAACGCGGAGCATAATATCTTTATAAGAGCATTTGCTTGTGAGCGTTACCCCTGGAAGTTCCCAGGCACTGTGATCTTCCTGTTGACCAGAGCCTTCATGACCCTGCTGACGATCTCATAGAGCGGACCAGACATGTTCTTACTGAGCTTCCCTTCAAAACGCTTCTCCACCTCATCCCTAGGAGAGAAGACAAACAGACGCCATCAGCAGAGCTAATGGAGGTCAACATCTGAGAGACAGACAGACACTTACTCGTTCATGTTGAGAGCAAGACTGAGGTCTTCATCTTTGGAGAAGAGGAGGATGAGGAAATGATAACGCGTCTGACCCTGCTTAATGGGCGGGTCGAGACTGATCTGGAAAATAAAAGGATCAGGACTGGGTCAAGAATAAACCGACTAAATCACTGTGAAACAGCCTTTTCACAAAGCATATGTTAAGATTTACTGAGCTCTTAATGAATAAACCCGTGATGCAACATTTAACCAGCAGGTGGCGGCAGCACCGACGCATTATTTAGCATGGGACACATTAGGTGCATTTACACGAATCCAATCTGATATCAGATTCAGAAAGCTCTGTTTATATGAACCCTAAATGGTGCAATCTGATTGACATTCACATGAACACTGGGTTTTGGTTTTTTTAACATCAAATTTTAAGAGTGGGTTGCAACAATAAGTATTAATCTTAAATCGAGGTTTATTTAATAATTCTGTTGCACTGACTGAACTTTAAACTAAGCAGGATTAAGTTTAAATCTAATTTTGATCCTGGATTTAATTGACATTTAAGATAGATTAACTTCAATCCTGTTGCTCCATTACTTTTAACAATTACAGTTAAACGTTTCACAAGGATTAAAAAAAATCTGCTAATTCTGTAAACTATATAGGGAGCCGCACATTACTATAACATTAAAGGTTGTAGCCTAGACTTTTAACCTAAATTCAGATGCTATTTATTTTTTAGATATAATAATCAACACACAACACATTGTGTGAAAACATGTAAACTGAACGTAAGGCAGTTTTTGCATTGACTTGTGTTTTTTATTGAAATACAATAATTTACACAGTTGTCAATTTCATGAAAGATATTTTAAACATACATTAAATAATCAAGATATCATTAACAGGTTAAGTAAAATATGATATATAGGCTAACATACTGCATTTATTTAGTGCAAGAGTTCATTTATAGGAAGTTGGACACTGAATCACTTGCCTGTTGAGGTAAATATAATGCTAGTGACAAGCTATGCTGTTTTATTGACGTCTTTCCGCGACTGAAACACTGATTGACAGATTACACGAGTTATGATGCCTTTCAGAAAGTACTGTATCTTTCAACATACCTTCAGGTGTCCATTCTGTAACTGAGGAAGAGATGATCGCGTTTACTCGCGCGGCGTGCTGCTGTTTGAAATGAGGAACCTAGTAGGCCTACAGCGATCTGTCACACCACATCAGAGCGCCAAAACACCATTTATTGTTTGGATTTCGTGATCAAATAGACAGAATTGGAAAGATTACACCTTGCGTATTATCGAAAGTAACAAAACACGGAGCTTGTTATTTGGTGTTAATGGTGGTTAGGCGACAAAACTGAATTCGTTGTGTACTGTACACATAAGACATGAGGTCGATTGAGCCGGGCTGGGCGGGGCGTGTTTGGTACACAATGAGAGTATCGCGATTCGAATCGTGAGTTCAGTATCGCGTTTTTCCGGTTCAGTTCGAATATCGTTACACCCCTGTTAGTTATCGTTTTTAGTAATGCCTCATTTTATTTTTATTTCAGTTAACGACAATGTTTTTTCCCACCTAGCTTTAGTTTTTTTGGTTCGTTTTCGTTAACGATTATAACCTTGCTGGTGGGGAGCAGCAGATAAAAACACACAACTCACCACAAAGAACATCTGCCTCTGGTCCTTGTGTGGCAGCAGGAAGAGACGCAGGACAGTGGTGTAGGGGATCTTATAGTCAAAAGTCTTACCATGCAGGTGCAGGAAGGAGGGGTAGATACGAATATCATACCTGAAAGAGAAACACTAACTGAGCCAAACAGAAGACTCATAAACACGTGCATCACTTTGAGACACGCAGAGCTCAACACAAAGTATAACAACATTCAAAATCAACAAGTCAGTCAGCCTTAAAGGGATAGTTCACACAAGAATGAAAACTTTCAATTTACTCACCCTCATGATGATCATAAGACTTGTTTTAGAAACAATTATTTGACGCTTAAAAACGAACCTTGCAATCAAGCAATATGGATATTATGCATCAAAACTGAAATATCTGAAATTCATCCAATACTTCTTATCTGCACTAATCGAGACACCAGGCACTGTTTTGTGCTGATGAACGGGCCGGAGCGAGTGTTTTCTGTTAGTGTCGTGTTAGAGGCCCCCTAAGTTAATTACTAATGGTGTTTAAAATGGAAGTGAATCAACCAATCAACCAATCAAAACTAACTTTAACTGGACAATAACTTTACTCTACTTGAGCTGCTGTAAAGCCGAAACAATCTCTGTTACTGTAATTTCCTATTATCACTGTAAAGCTGCTTTGAAACAATCTATATTGTTAAAAGCGATATATAGATAAAGGTGACTTGACGGATACCAAACTGTGCATTCTGACTCTCTCTCAGTAGCACCTCATTGCAGAGATCCAGGGGGCGGAGTCGGATCCAGATCTGAGGGGTGGAGTTGTGTAGGTTTAGGGATCAGGGGTTGAGTTGTGTAGGTTTAGGTTAGGATCAGGGGGTGGAGTTGTGTAGGTTTAGGGATCAGGGGGTGGAGCTGTGTAGGTTTAGGGATCAGGGGGTGGAGCTGTGTAGGTTTAGGAATGGGTTTAGGGATCAGGGGGTGGAGTTTGGTAGGTTTAGGGGTGGGTTTAGAGATCAGGGGGTGGAGTTGTGTAGGTTTTGGGGGAGGCGCTATAAGGTGGGAGGAGTTGGATCTGGATCCGACTCCTCCCCGTGGATTTCATGTTCTGCAGTGAGGACCATCTCCTCGCTCTTCTTTCGGACAGCGAAGTAACACACCCGCCTCCTTTCACTCTCTCGTCTCATTCGCTACCATTGAATAGTGCTTGCATAGCGTATAATTTTACTCATTCTCGAAAGGTTTCGCGGTCAGACTATAAATTTTCTATTAAAAAAATAATCACTTAATTTTTACATTTGATTACTTAATCAAATTTCTTTAGTATTTATTACCGGAATACTACTGTTAGACCCACCTGAAAAATGTATGTTTATCTCTTTTGTCTCGAATATCGATATTTTTCAAAGTATCGTATCGAAGTTGGAAATTCCAGTATCGTGACAACACTAGTTTGGAATGACATGAAAGTGATTTTCATGTTAGGGTGAACTACCCCTTTCACAACTAGTCAACCATTCTGGCCAAAGATGTGTATGGTCAGAACAAAAGACACAACTTGCCTTCCTCTCGGCGTAAGGCACTGAAGTTCTTTAAAGATACACACGGCATCTCCAGTAGCTTGGATGACATCTGCCTTTGAGAGGACATTCTGAGCGAATGCCTACGTCAGAACGAGAGAGAGATCATCAGCATCAGCTGCTCGCAAACCGACAGAGACAAACACATTCGCATACACACGCACCTCCACGGGGTCTGTGCCGTCGTCTCCAGTGTTGGGCGGGACATAGAAGCGGACCTCCATGAGTGACACCTCCGCATCATCGTTCTGATGGAACTCCACCGTCACCTCGTTCTTTCCCGTCGCACACTGGGACACGCTGGACAGCGGGATCTCAAAGACAGGACTTTCGCTCACCTCAAACGACAGCAGAGACCCTGAACACACACATACATATGAGTAACCATGGCAACAGTAGTGTTTTTTGATTGGTCTAACTTTTATTTCAGCCTCACTATCGTAAAAGCAGATTTTTTTAAATATACCATTCAAAAGTTTGGGATCAGGAAGATGCAATTCATTCCTGTGATGCAAAGCTGAATTTTTAGCATCATTACTCGAGTCTTCAGTGTCACATGATCCTTCAGAAATCATTCTAATATGATGATTTTATCATCAGGAAACATTTATTATTATTATTAATGTTGAAAACAGTTGTGCTGCTTAACATTTATGGAAACGTACAGTTTTCCAGGATTTGTTGATGAGCAAAGTTCAGAAGAACATCCTTGAATACATTTAACTTAAAAAAAAGAAATAAAGTTATTGACTTTTATTTACCATCTTTTCTACAGCATAGTTGAATATTTTGATGCCTGAAGATATATTTATTGTGAATATGTTTTGAAATATCCAAATAAACACATAGTGGACTTGTGTTTTTGGAATATATAGGTACCATATTGTTATTGGTCAATAAGTTTATCAACATCAGTAGATACTGTTGGTATCCATCTATAGTACTGTAGATTAAATTCCACAATGCACACTAAATGTTCATGTTAAAAATACAAATTTAACAACAATTTTGACATTACATAACTTTCATATTAGTCATTGAGTTATCAGTTACATTCAGTTATCAGCAATAATATGAAAATAATTAGCAGCTTGCCATCAGACAATTTTAATTTCATGAATTACTAGTAGCATGTGTAGATAGGTGTGTGTACCTGAAAATTTGGCGGTGCCCCAATTCCAGCCCTTCACACACATATCCTTCTCTGCCAACTCCAATTTGTAGTTCGCTTTAAAAAACGCAGAGATTTTCTCAAAATCCTACAGGAGGGGGGAAGCAATAAGGAAGGAGAGAGCAAGAGAGGGAAGAGATAAACAGAGTTAATGCCTCACTTCCCCTGACTCTCGTTCTCATCCAGCCCTGGGTTCATTAATAAAGAGAGTTGGCAGCGGCGCTCGGCCCGCTGGGACGGTGGAGGTGTGTGTAATCCGGCCGGAGGCTGATGTGGAGCACGCTCAATCAGCTCGTTTATTTATCCAGCACTGCACAATCGCTTCCACATGTCACTCCACCAGGTGTGTGTGTGTGTGTGTATGCGCTAATGAGCTTGGCGCTGGGCTACAGAATCCCATCACTTCAACATTACACAAACCAGCATTCCCTGATCCTCAACATATTGCCTTTTTTCCCCAAATGTAAAGACAATGACAACGCTGGTTTAAAGTTGGCTGTTAAACAACACATCTAAATACACAGCAAACAAATACACACTCATGTCAACTTTGTCTATGTTATATGTAACAGATTCCTCCGGAGTTACGGTACACTGCTTAATAATAAACACCACACACACAGTGACTTCATACAAACACACACATACAGAGCAAATCCATTATATTGGAGGCCAGTGATTAACCCCGGGAGAAAAGCATTCCTTAACATCTTGAATTACACACACACATTTCAGCATTAAAATATGTTACATTTATGGATATGCAGCTCTGATCGGTCAACTATTGTTTGCCCAACACACTCACTGTGTCTTTGAAGCCGTCGTATTTGTAGATGTGTCCAGTGCTGGTGACCAGTTTGATCCCGTGACCCAGGCAGACCCGACGCCACTGCGCCTCAGAGAGTTCGGGCCCCGGGATACTGTCCACCTTCCCCGTTTTATGGCTTTTATAGACCACAGACTGCTTGCTGAACTTCAGACGCCCATCGTTCTGACAACAAACAAAGACAGAAAGAAATGTGTGGAGAGCAAATATATATATAATGTATAATTATTTATATATTTAAATACATACACATGCATGTATATATTTAAGAAATATTTGCATGTATATACTTTATATATAAAATAAATATTATACATAAGTATAAATATTTGAATATATTAATAAAACATTTTTTGTAAAAATATACATGCCACTACACATACATATATTATGTAAACACAGACTTTTATTTTGGATGCGATTAATCGCGATAATTTTTCAGTTGATAATTTAGAGGCCTTTGAAATGAGTGTATCAAAAATGAAGCTTTATTAGGGTGGAGATAGTAAGCACTAAACAGTATTCAGACGAGTGCAAGTATTCTCATCTAAACACAGCCATGTTCTGGTGAGGAGGTGAAAGGTCAAACTGCGACACCTAGGGGTCACTCCACTCTTTGCTGTGTTTTTGCTCTTTTTCCATATTCGAGTGAAAAGTTAATGTCACCTTACCCAAGATCCCTTCGACTCTTGATGGATGTCATTAAACTCCAGAGTGTCTCCCATCTCTGTAAAATATAAATATTAATATCAACACAGAAATAACACGGGAACCGCATACTAGTAATACTACTCGTACTACTTCTACCATGGAAAGGTAATGTTTAAAAAGTAGTACACTAACACGCGGTTCCGAATTCAACACGCATTCATTAAGAAGTAATTTATATCAGCTAGTCTTGCTCTGAAGGCTTTAATCCACGAGCTGTATTGTTGTATGTCCAATTATTGAGAATGGGAGTTGCTAGTGTTTCTCCCTCATCAGTGGTCGTGTCTCAAATTTACTGATCTGCTTAAGTTAACGTTACCTAGACAGCATTTTAGTAACCGTGTGTTTCAAAATATTCTTTTTACAGTCTATGGTTAACGGCTGAAATCTAGAGGTAATTTAAGGGGATTTGAAAGCGCTAATGAGCACATAACACGCTGTCTAGTCTATGCTAGGAGAGCTCGTTGTGTTTTGGGACACCACCACCACCAGTGTTCGCACACTCTGTACATGTGGAGCGAGCGAGATTCATTCAGCCGGCTTGATTTAAGATCATCATCAGTATATTATACAAACGTATTTAGCACTTACTTTGGGTGAAGAACGACTTTATGAACGTATAAGCGTGCTTCCCGGTGTTGAAGAAATTTGATGAAAACACAAACAACTGCAATGATCAAGCTCTTCTATTCTCCTGTTTCCCGCGTCAAACCTCCGGGTTCTGAAGAAAGACAGTAACCCGGAAGAAGTGTTGAAGGGTCACGCGTTTCCATGACTCCGCACCGCTCCGCACTCACATGTTCCTGACATTTTAAAAATATTTTACAGAAATTATTTCCCGTAAAAACTCATTTGCTTTAATGACTACTGTTTTATATATTTTAAATTTTGAGAGTAAAATTACATTTAAAATGTGGTTTTTCATATATAATTAGCCTACTATGATTGTAACTTAACGAAATAGAATATTTAAGCTCATTTAAGCATTTAATATTAAAAAGGTATTATTAATAGGCTATGAAATAACCCAAAACTGCTTAATTAAATTAAATTAAAATAAACCTCAAATAATAATTATAATAATAATAAAAATAATTGAATATTAAAATAAAGTTTATATTCGTTCCCTCACATCTTTGACATCCTGCAACTGGTGGGTTTCTAAATGCTGACTAATTTTGTACAATACATGTTTAATAAACATGACTTTAGTTTTTTTTTTCTTAATAAGAAAAAATAAATAAAGTCTGCCCGTCTGCCGTTTTGTTATTAGTTTGTATTGGAGCCTTTGGAGTCTTCTTCAACCCAGACCACACCGTGACACCGTCTCTCACATTTTCTGATTGACGCTTAAAACGTTTAGTTTAACTAACTAGCAATAAAAAATGTGATGGATTCCTGAAACAATATGAACATTTCATTTGTAATGGCTCTGTTGTTCAGGTTTAACCAGCTTTCTCTCATATTATAATCTATCTATCTATCTATCTATCTATCTATCTATCTATCTATCTATCTATCTATCTATCTATCTATCTATCTATCTATCTATCTATCTATCTATCTATATATATATATATATATATATATATATTAGGGCTGGTCAACGATTAATCGCGATTAATCACATCCAAAATAAAAGTTTGTGTTTACATAATATATTTGTGTGTAGTGTGTATAATTATTTTGAATAAAATTCACACACAAGCATGTATATATTGAAAGTATTGTATATATTGTATTGAAGAAAAATTATTAATATATATTAATATTTATATTTAATATAAATTATATATATATATATATATATATATATATATATATATATATATATATATATATATACACAGTATATGCAAATATTTATTCAATATATACATGCATGTGTGTGTATTTACATATATACAAAATAATTATACACACTACACACATAGCCTATATATATTAACACAAACTTTTATTTTGGATGCAATCATATATACACTTTTTTCTCTTGTTGTTCTTTCCCTGTAAAAATGTATAATGTATAATTTTTATATCCTTGCAAATGATTCTTAATATGCTGATTTTTTTTTTTTTTTACAATATTACAGTAAATGTAGGCTATATATTGATTTATCACATTTTTTTCTTTTGTCAACTCAATTTAGATAATTCAAGTTGCTGTTGATTAAACCTTTCTCCCTCATTGTATCAACTCAATTTTTTTTCATTTCAATGAACACAATGAACCTATTTTTAAGTTAAAGCCACAATAATATTTTAGGATAATGTTTGACACTTTACATAGCAATGTTATTTAACTTTAATGTTCCCCTGAAGGTGTTTGTTTCTTGAATAAAAAAGTTTTTTTTTCTTTTTTTTTAAAAAGTGGTTAAATGATGAAGAGCTGTAAGATCCCAGTGTTAAACAGCAGAGGACGCCAGCAGCATCACGAATCACCACATCTAACATCAGGACGGTGATCAGTCAACAACATCACAGGCTCACAACAATAATCACAGTGTAATCCCGTCCTGTTCTTTTAATGTCATGCTGCCTGTGAAATGAAGTGCTTATCCACTTACACACCTCTGAAAAAACCCACGCATGTAGCACTTCAAATCTCAATAATCTCACTGTCAATAAAGGTAATACCAGAGGAATGACAGTATGACACACATCAAGCACGCACGAGACTAGGTCAGAAAACACACCAGTCTAAACACTGCCCGTTCTCAATGAATAACTCAATGCCAAATTATAATTGAGTCACCGAATCCGAGAAGAAGAAAAAAACACATTGTCTATGTTGTTGGTGAGAAAATAAATGGCACAATTATGAAATATCTGTCAGGAGTGTAATTCCTCCCAGCTTTGTGGTTTTAGAGTCTCGTGGCAGGGTCCTTCACTTCAGAGAAGATGAATCAACAGTGAATCACTGAAGAGGAGGAGAGAGAGAGAGGGACTGGGGGAGGAGGAGAGGCCGGGGGACAGAACTTTCTCTCAGGCATGTGTATAAAATCACTTCAGTCAGTCACTCAGTCAGTTTCATCGACACTCACCTGGATATCAGAGCACGCGCCCGCGCGCGGTCACCCGACAGCTGTCAATCACTTCACGCGCTCACTTTCTGAGACTTTATTTAGGCTACTGTATTTATTAACTTTTTTATATTCACATTACAGATATTTTATATAGCCTATTTATCTTTATATAGCGCTCCAGGCACGCGCAGACAACTAAATCACCGGGCAGCGCACGAAAACAACAGAGTTCATTTTATTCAATCAAAAACTCCTTCAAAACCTCAAGAAGAATAAACGGATCAGAACGGAAATAGTGGATTCGTTCCAATTAAAATGCGTCGCTGGAAAGGTAAGTGATGAGCGACTTTTCACTGTTTATTTTGGTATTGACAATTATTATTATTAGCATATGAAATAGGCTATAATTATTTAAATATAGGCCAATTGTTTGTTACTTTCGGAGCTTAAAGTCCACAATGTTTGTGTGTGTGCGTGTGTGTGTGTAGCCTATGTTTGCTAAATTTGTTTGCAAGGTCGCCAGAAGGAGAAAATATAGTGAATGCATCTTTAGTTTGCTTGCGCATGTGATACACTTTTCTGTTCTAAAAACAATTTCAAAAGCTCTCAAAGATTGATTCCCTGAAAGTCTGCTTTTGAGAGGCCTTTGCCTTTACGCATTGCCATTCAGTAGGCTAAAGCAAAATAAGTGAATTTCGTTTTAAAAGTTAACGAAAGGTCTTTTATAGCTCGGAAATGGCTTTTCTTTTCGTGTAAAATAATCGATTAAATTGTTGCTCTAAAGCTCAGTTATTTTTATTTGCATTGCCTAAATCAGTGATACTCGAAGATGACGTGTAATAGCAATTTTCAGATTAAAACTAGACTTTAAACAAGAGTGTCGTGACACGATTAGCCTAAAGAAATTTGAGTTTATCCAGTTTGTTCTGAATTTCACAAAACATATTTAATGATAAAGAAAATAAAGATGGATTAGGATAGAAATTACACGTGTAGGCCTAAAAAAGTTAAATTTTTAAGTAGCCTACAATCAACTTGGATGTTTATGACATTCCACTTAAATTACATCAAACTGACTTAAAAGATGAGTTGAATCTTTTATAACTTATAAAAAAGTTGAAAATTGCTAAACTTATTTTGATGAGTTAAAGCAATGTAAAAACATATGTTGTCACAACATCTATCATATAATTTTTACAGTGTTCAGATATTCTTTTGTTCTAATAATAAGTCAAGTGTATATATATATATATTATATATATCAAATCAACACTCAAATCAACAGGTTTGAGTGAGAGTTTGGGTTTAGGGATAACATCACCTCTATTGAGATATACTAGCATGTTTTTGAGCTTGATACTGATATTTTTGATATATATATATATAGGTATTTTTATTAAACAAAAGTTTTTTTTTTCACACTACGATGACTTTTTATTATTAACTATCACAAAAAATATCAAGCTCAAAAACATGCTAGTATATCTCAATAGAGGTTATTCCTAAACCCAAACTTTCACTCAAACCTGTTGATTTCTAAAGATTTAAAGCATTTAAGAGCCTTTCAAATAGACTTCTTGAAATGTTTCCATAATTCTGTTCCCCACGAGCCAAACCTGAGACTAAGACTAATGCTTCTCCTCTTGTTCTCATGTGGTTCATAGGGCAAAATCTCGCCTCTGTCTTGTTAACCGACACTGATATGAGAAAGTACATGATTCATGTTAGTCAGGGTCTAAACACACAAACCCACACACATACACACCACCTGTCTTCAGGGAGCCTGTGAAAAGGAGGAAGAGTGTGTGACGAAATGATGCGATTTACGCCTAAACAAAGCAGCAGAGCAGTCTGTCACGCTCACACACACACACACACATTCTCTTTTTCTGTGTTACAGTTCAGTTTGTCCCACATGCACGCTTGCCCCAAATGCTTATACACATGCATCTATCACACACAGCCCAAACTGCCAAATACACTCAAACTCACACAGATGGTTTCAGAAAAAAAAGAAGCCCCAAACCGTTAGCATGTCACAGCGCCCCATGCATTTGCATTTAAATCCACGCAAAGATGCAGACAAGACAGTGGGGTTTTGGGGAGGAGAGAGAGAGAGAAGCGAGGTAGAGGGATGAAGAGCTTCAGGAAGTGCAGGGCTTAAGGAGAAAGAGAGAGAGATGGAGTGATGGAGGAAAGGAAAGAGGGTTAACACAGCCCAGATTCCCTCTAAAAGAAAAAGGAGAGAGCGAGCACAGGGGAATGATATAAAAATGAGTTGGTCACGGTTTGAACAGTTACACATGCTGTTTACATTTTTCCCAAATTAACATGGCCCCTCGCTTCACCAAGCCCCTTTCTCTCTCCCACTTCTTTCTTTCTTTCCTTTTCTTTCTTTCTTCTAACTAATCTTTCTTTCTTTCATTCCATTTTTGATCTTCTAGATTTAACGTGCAGATAGTTCCTCTTCATTTAGTTATATTTATTTTCAAGAGCGGGTCGTTTTGGGCGACGTTAAATGAGAAACTTGAGTCAGAGAGATGGGGAAATGGTGAGGGGGGGGGGATAATTAAAAAAGCAAGGGAGAAAAAAGGAAAGGTAATTACAAAGTGCACCCGAATTGGACTGGAAAAAGAAAAAGCATGAGAGAAAAGATGTGAGGAACGTGAGGGTTTTATTGCCCATTCCTGCTTTGTTCTGAAGGTCCTTGTCAACGTTTGAGGCCAACTTCCATCAATTTAAATTTTAAACTAAGTCTCCTCGGGAGAGATCGAGGAGTTGTAGAGATCACGGAGAGCAAGTGTGTGAACGAGGCGAGTGAAACCTGGTTTGATGTATCTAGAAACAATTGACGTCCATCATGCATAATGGATGCATTTATATTCTAGCATCCTTCTGAGTGCCCTGCATGTTAGTTTATGTGTGTGTGTGTGTCTAGTCAGTGAAGGAATGCACGTTTGATTGAGTGCAGACTGCACATAAATCTCTAGTTTAACTGTACACAGACACACAACATGACCCTGACCCCTTTCACAAACACACACACACACCCGCTCATGAATATGAAAGACTGGCCTCTTTGTGCAGTGAACTGACCAGCCCATCATATGGCCAATATAACTTTATATGATGTGATAGAAGGGAACATGTTTTATGATATTGCACCATAACGCTGAATTCTTGGTATTGTTGACTGGAGCCTCCGAGACTCGTCTGTTTAGTGTTAACACAGAGGCAACAAATCAGTCAGAAGATGGAAGGCGAGAGGCTACGTGTGCATGTGTGTGAGACGGAGGGAAAGACAGTGCAACTGACTGATATACCGATTTGACATCATATCATTGCTGCCAGCTGTAGGCTCTCTACGCAAAGACACACACGCACACGCAGAGAGAGAGAGACTCTAATGAAAGCCGTGGTTATTTAATAAAGTCGCGGGGGATTTGTTTCTGGGGTTATGTAAATATGCCAGTGCTCTGTTTTAGAGCTGTTGTGCTTACATCCAAATAAGCAATAAGAGAGAACAACATTCTTCATGTGATTCTCGATTATATCTACTGTGCCATGAGAAAAACAGCAGTTCACGAATCAACAGAGGGTTAAATTGTTTGCTAAGAAACATCTCTATTCTATTGCTCAAATGTATATGGATAGGAATTAAATGCTGTGATGTCAAATTTTGACATCAGATTTGATGTTTCTTTTCAATCAGATTTACGATTTCTGCCTGGCGACAATCATCAATCATCAGCAATCCCACTTTGGAATTATGAATGTCATTATAATTACATTATTAGTACTATACACTCTCAGAAAAAAACGGTACAAAAGCTGTCACCAGGCTTTACCTTTTCAAAAAGGTAACTTTTGTACATTATAGGTGTAAATATGTACATTTTAGGTGCGAATGTGTACATTTTAAGTGTTAATATGTACATTTTAGGTGTTAATATGTACACTTTAGGTGTTTAGGTATGTACATTTTAGGTACTAATATGTACATTTTAGTTGTTAATATGTACATTTTAGGTGTAAATATGTACATTTTAGGTACTAATATGTACATTTTAGGTGTTATTATGTACATTTGAGCCTTTTTTAGGTGTAAATATGTACATTTTAGGTGTTAATATGTACAAGGTGTTAATATGTACATTTTTGGTGTAAATATGTACATTTAAGGTACTAATATGTACATTTTAGGTGCTAATATGTGCATTTTAGGTGTTAATATGTACATTTTAGGTACTAATATGTATATTTTAGGTGTTTAGGTGTTAACATGTACATTTTAGTTGTTAATATGTACATTTTAGGCGTAAATATGTACATTTTAGCTGTTAATATGTACAATTTAGCCTTTTTAGGTGTAAATATGTACATTTTAGGTGTAAATATGTACATTTTAGGTGCTAATATGTACATTTTAGGTGTAAATGTGTACATTTTAGGTGTTAATATGTACATTTTAGGTACTAATGTACATTTTAGGTGCTAATATGTACATTTTAGGTGTTAATATGTATATTTTAGGTACTGATATGTACATTTTAGGTGTAAATAGGTGTTAATATGTACATTTTAGGTGTTAGTATGTACATTTTAGGTACTAATGTACATTTTAGGTGTTAATATGTACATTTTAGGTACTGATATGTACATTTTAGGTGTAAATATGTACATTTTAGGTACTAATATGTACATTTTACTTGTTAATATGTACATTTTAGGTGCTAATATGTACCACTAAGGTAAGAAAGTGTACCATTTGAAAAGGTACAGCCCCAATGACAGCTTTTGTACCTTTTTTTTTTCCGAGAGTGTATTTGCGCCTTTACTTTCACAGGAAAGAGAGAAAGCGAGATCTCTTCGATATCGAGATCTTCTCCAATTTTTTTCCAGAGAAACAGACCCTTGCAGAGTTTCAGAAGAGACCTCAAAAGTCTCTCGAAGTCAAGATACCAAAGTCTGCATTCAAAATTTTGAGATCTCAACATAAACTGAAATATTTTGTATTGAATTCGAATGTCAGACATTATTTTAAAGCTTTAATATTTTAAACTCTTAAAAACAAAGACTGCAAAATATGATGTGATTGGTTCACAAATAACCATACTTTTTGGAACCATCAAAGCCACAAAGAACCGTTATATATATTGTACAATAACAAACGTCTATCACTGTTATTCCTTGGAAATATAAAACATTTGAGTCACTGTTAATGCTTTAAAAACATCGTAGAGAATTCCACTAAGTCTCTTGAGCTCCGAAAGAGAAACTTGGGGCAAATAAAATGTTCCTCACGGTACTCTTATCCAGTTATTTGTTGGAACAAAAGACAATTTTAATAAGAATAAGATGTCGGTCAGTGTTTATATGACTTTAATGGATGATGTTAGAGGATCTCTTCTCTTATATGTTACTATAACACACAGAATCGTGATGTTTTCAATAAGCCGATTATGTTGGATCAGAATTTTGGATCCATCTGAGATGCATTGCTGAAATCTTTCACTCCCGACTGCATCTTCCTGAAAGACTTTGACGATTATTGTGACCTTGGGTTGAGGAAAAGGTGTGTCAGGAGTGTGTGTGTGCGTTTCAGGTAGGGTTTTAGATGAGCGTTTCATGAGAAATCTTCCCTCTTGAAGGAGAATGAGTGAATTAGAGTCGAAAGAATGGGAGTGAGAAAAAAAGAGAGGAACGGAGTTGAAACGAAAAACTGGCAGGGCTAATCGAGGTTAATAAGCTGTTGTTATTTTGGCCGGGGGCAAAAAAGAGATAAACCACTTTAAAGAAGGGGAGGAAACATAGGCGTGTGTGTGAGAAGCTAAAAACCTTGACAGGAGAATATTGAGGGGAAGGAGAGAGAAACAATGTGTGACAGCGAGACAAACGTGTGATCGTGATGAAGAGAGCCGGGAGAAGAAAGGATTGAGGAAAAAAATGGGGATGATGAGGGGTTCAAGAAGAGGAGACGAACAGAGATAAAAAGGAAAAGCAAAGGGGAGGAGGTGCACATATTTCACACCTGTTGAAAACACAATGCCTCAAACAAGTAATTACACATCTCTGCCATGTTCCTCTGAATGCTTAACACAAAAAAGAAAAAGAACAGAGACACTGGGTGAGATGTGTTTGGGCCGGATGACTCCCTGAGGCTCGCACACACACATAATAGGAGCACTGTGTGACCCTTTTCGAAGTCCGAGGTTCACTCTCATTTGCTGCCATTTTCCCAGCGTGATTTCTGAGGACACTGGTCTAAAAGGGTCCTCTAGATGGACACATTTACACACACTCACGCACCATACCAAATGTAACAAATGCACTGGTCTGTGTACAGGCATGTATATACACATAATCCAAAACAGAAACCTACAAACACACTCCAAAACAAAAACATGTCCCAGAGTAGAGGACCACACACACACTCACACCCCTGAGCTCAAACACACACACTCACAAAAGTACTGTGCTATTTGTCAAATGATAAAACTAGATAAATGGTTGACATTGTTGACATTTATTGACACTTTTTGCAAAAAAAATGGCTCAGAAAAGTTAGGTTGGCTCTGCAAGCATATATACTCATTTAGGGCTAGTTCACACAGAAATTTATTTTGGATGCCGTGTCATGCGAGAAATTTGGTGTATATTTGAACTGACTAGCGTAGCATACAATGGTCAAACGTGTCCATCTAGCACGTGTTTACATTGAAGAACAATAGAAAAGTAATGCAGTGAAATGAAAAAAATGCTAAATTCCTGTTTGAACGTTAAGACCTGTCCATTGAACGGTTCTTTGAGAAACTGAAAATAGGTTCTCCTGTGTGACATTTTTGCTAAAACAAAAAAACAAAACAAAAAAACCTTTTGCAATCTCTGTTATTTTATTGCAACTTGCTTTGAAGTTTAGTTATTTATGGGTTGACTTTAGGAAAAGGTTAAGTGATTGTGTTCAAAAATACGTTCATGTAAAAAGTGATCAGTTGTCTTAAAGGGATAGTTCACTTTGAAATTAATTTTTGGTATGTTTTAGCTTACCTCAAGGGCATCCAAGATGTAGGTGTCTTTGTTTCCTCAGTAGTTTCAATTTTGATATTTTTAGGTCAAACCGTTCTTGTCTATCAGTCATATAATGGAGGTCTATGGGGTCCACCTCAAAGAGCATGCACAGAGAAGTCCAAATTAAACATGATTTAATGACTCGTAAATGTAAGTAAACATTGATGGCCTAAGACATGAAACGAGCGGTTTGTGTGAGAAAACAAACATCATTTATATCGTTTTTACCTCGTGTAACCACAGCCACAGAGCGCCTGTGCCCTCAGTTCACTTGGACGTGGCTGTGGTTATTAGAGGTAAAAACAATATAAATGATGTTTGTTTTCTCACACAAAACGCTCGTTTCGTGTCTAAGGCCATCAATGTGTACTTACATTTACGAGTCATTAAATCATGTTTAATTTGGACTTCTCTGTGCATGCTCTTTTTGGTGGACCCCCTTAGCCTCCAGTGTATGACTGACAGACATCAACTGTTTGACCTAAAAATATCAAAATTGAAAATACTGTGGAAACAAAGACACCTACATCTTGGATGCCCTTGAGGTAAGATCAAACATATCAAAAATTAATAAGTTTTTTAAATTAATTAATTAAAAAATTAATTAATAAAAAATTAAATTACCTTAAATGATTAAGTAAATAAACTTAATGCATAATTGAAAAAAAAATAAGTTGTGTGGAAATTGTCAAGTACAAAACTTAATTTTTTCAATTACGCATGAAGTTTCTCCACTGTTTTAAGTCAACTGATTACTTTTTACAGTGTATCATAAATACATAATAAATAAATCTCATTAATGATTAATCAGAAACAGATAATTTCTTCCGTATTGTGACATCTGACTGAAATTAATTATAAAAATGTGGGTGGGGGCTCACCATAAGATTGGGTTATGACATTTCGGTTAAAAATTACAAGGTCAAAAAAGAAAAGAAAAGAAAAGAAAGAAAGAAAGAAAGAAAGAAAGAAAGAAAGAAAGAAAGAAAGAAAGAAAGAAAGAAAGAAAGAAAGAAAGAAAGAAAGAAAGAAAGAAGGAAAGAAAGTCAATCAATCAATCACATGCCAATAACATGGGTGAATTTTCATTTCATGCTGAATTTAATCCAATAAAATATTGCAGTAAGGGACATTTTAGCTGTAAAGATATATAAATACATATCGGTGTAATATCCTATATATGACATTTATCTCAACCTTTTATGGCCCGCTTCAGTCAGTATGAAGATAAATCCCTTTAATAATCCTGTGCAGAACTTCTCTCTCTCTTCAAACAAACTGTACCAGAGGCCAGTAGCAGAAGCAGTGCCAGACATATCCGCATGAAATTGTAATCTCTATAATCAAAGTATAACATAAAACTAACTGTTTAATTCTGAATACCTCAAAAGAATTACAGTTACAACCACTATATTACAAAAATGACGCACCCTAATCTCTGTGAACTCCAATATAAACCAAACATTTATTCAGAGCTGATTACAGACAGATTTTCTCTGCTTCATGTTATTCCTCAAACAAAATCACAGTTGAGAAATAACAAACTTATTACACTGTAAAAAATTATGTGATCAGTACGTTATGACAACATATGTTCTCACTCATCAAAATAATTTAAGCAATTTTCAGTTTCAGCTCATCTTTTAGTCCGTTGAACTTAGAGCCTTAAACATCCAAGTTGATTCTACTAAAAAATTGAATGCAGCAACTTTTTTTTACAGTGCATTTTTACTAATTCACTGACAAGAACCAGATTGGACATTAAATTGGACAAGAGAATTGGTCATTTGCGCATTTTCACGGGACTTCAATCCCTGTTTTCGCTTCTTTGTATTCCAGTTGCTGAGGTTGCTGTACTGCTGTTTTTGGTGGGGTGTGTTCATGCGCTGGACCGCACACTCATGCTGTCCAATGAGAGGAGCTCGATAGAGAGAACATACGAGCTGACCAAATACCTGGACCACCAGCTGAAGGAGATCAGAGACACCTACGTGAGTCACAATCTGTGTGTGTGTGTGTGTGTGTGTGTGTGTGTTTTATCAGTGTGTGATAAATGAATGACGTTTTTGTTTATAGATGTTTTCCTGTGGATGCTCGCACTCTCTTTTTATCTATTTTGCCTCTTCTTGACTGTAGTTTTATAATTAGCTGTTTCTAGTATCTCGTAACTGACCTAACTTTTGCCAGCTAATGGTGTATAAAGATCCTTTTAAATGTTCTGATAGTAGTTTTGTTAACTTTATGTGTTTACTTGCTAATGAAACAGCTATTGAAACAGGAAGTTGGGTAGGGACACACCAGGGCATGTCCTTTTCGTATTACCTAGTCAATATCCTGTAGTTACTGTAACTTGAATATAGCATGAAATGAAAATGCACCCTATTTTCTAAATGTACTGTATATTATATTTCTTAATGTGAATAATGAATGCCTGTGTGTGTTTAATTTTCTTCCTGTGAAAATGACAGATTTCGGTAACGCTTCCTTTTACAGTCCCGTTACCCATGTAAATACTATGTACTTATTTTTTGTAACTACAATTACTGGGTAATAACTAGTACTAACCCTGAACCCACCCCTGTTCCATGTACTTACCTTATATTAGCCAGTACTTTCTAGGTAAGTACACTGTAAGTACACTATACTGTAAAAGGAAGCGTCACCCAGATTTCTCCCTGGTGAACTATAGGACTTCTCATTTCATTTAGTCGATTAAACCCGTCCCTGCATGCTCATGTTCATCTGCCTCCACTTTTGAGTGCATATAACCAAGTACACATAGAACCAAGATTTCATTTCAATATCCTATTTTACTCAGATTTACGTCACAATACAGAACAAAAGATTAGTTCCACTTCCATTTCGCCGCAACTTTAAAGAGATAGTTCACCCAAATTATGAATATTCTGTCATTCCTAACTCACCCTCATGTTGGTACAAAATATTTCGTTCTTCTGAGGAACATACTTTGAAGAATGTTGGAAACCAGACAGTTTTTGGTTACCATTGACCACAAAGTAAAGAAAGTCGTAGAGGTTTGAAACAACATGAGGGTGAGTAAATGATGAGAGAATATAAATCTTTGGCCAACAAACATGCCAACTAAACAGCATTCCGTGACTTGCGACTAGTCAGAAGCAGATGGTGTTTAATATTTAAAGGGATAGTTCACCCAAAAATGAAAAATGTGTCATCATTTACACACCTTCAGGTTGTTCCAAACCTTTATTTCTTTGCTCTGTTGAACACAGAGTAAGATATTTTGAAGAATGTGGGAAACTTGACAGTTCTGAGGCACCATTGACTTCCATATTGTTTCCTACTATGGAAGTCAGTGGTGCCCTAAAGTGGCCTAGTAATAAACTTTCTTCAAAATATCTTCCTTTGTGTTCAGCAGAACAAAGAAACTCATACAGGTTTGGAGCAACCTGCGGGTGAGTAAATGATGACAGAATCTTCTTACACTCTTAAAAATATAGGTCCCAAAATAGCAGAGCAACAGAAGAATATTTTGGGTTCCCTAAAGAACCTTTTAGTGATCAGATAATAATATTTCAATGATCTAAAGAACATGTCCACGATAAATAACTTTTTCTGCAATGGAAAGTGTTAAATGTCAATGCCAATGAAGTACCCTTTATTTTAAGGAGTGCAATTTTGATTTCATGGGGTCTTGAAGTGGCTAAAAGGACGTCTAAAACCTGACAGAATCAGTGTAATTGTTTCCTAAATATCTCTCCTCATCTCTGGTCCTCAGCTGTCGTACCTTGGGCCTCCATTCAGTGATCCCGGCTTCTCTCCTCCACGTCCCAACAGCTCCTCTCTGTCCGTGCCCAGTGCAGCTACACGCGTGGACTTGTGGCGCGGGCTGGAGAACGGTGCCCGTCTGGCACAGAACCAGCGGGCGTACAGCATTCTCCTGTGTGCCGTGAGGGAGCTGGCGCGCTCCACCCTGTGCCCGTACCTCCAGAGCTCTCTCCTGCACTTTTGCTCCGGCCTCAGCGGGTTACTCGGCTCAATATCCGGCCTGATGAACGCCCTGGGCTACACCAACCTGCCACCCTCCACAGGATACGCCACACCCGCCCAAGGATACGCCCCACCCATGTCGTCACAGTTTCAGGGCGTGAGCGAGAACAGCCCCGCCCCTCTACGGAGTTACGTGCCTCGAAACAAAGGCGCTCACACCGCCTCCGGTGTGAGAGAGGGAACGACTCGGGCGGACCTCAAGCGGGACAGAGAGAGGGAGAGTAGGAGGAGAGGGAGGAGGAAAGAAGGAGAAAGTTGGGTCGCCAAAGAGGAGGGAGAAAAGGAGGAAGGAATGGAGAGATGGGGGAAAAGGAGAAGACTGCTGAGCTTGGAGGAGGAGAAAATGATCAAACTGAACAACATGAACTACACAACTTTAAAAGTTGGAGACGGAGACAGAAAGCAGCCCCTACTCTTTTCCTCACCATCCCTCCATCCTCGTCGATCTATCCGTTCCCTGCCGCCTCGTCACGCTGGTCTCTCTCCTCTCTCGCTCCTCTATCAGTACGGAGGGCCGGCCGCCGAGGTTCACGCTTTGCTGGCGGCCCCTGTGCTGTCATCACATCCCACTCCTAATGACTTCTCCCGGAAAGTTGAGGGGTTTTGGGTCCTGCGGGAGCTGCAGAGCTGGCTGTGGAGATCCGCGAAAGACTTCACCAGACTGAAGAAACGGCTACGCGCTTGAGAGAGAACCTAGTGAGCTGCCTCGCTGCCCTTTCATAGACCAAAAAAAGGTTGTCTATTGTCAATAGTGTAGCGATGTATGAAGGACAAGTCACTTTCAGACCTAGTAGTTCTCATCAAATTCACATGACCAACTAGAACCTGTTGCGAAATTTGCATCTAAGCAAAATTCCCAATTGCATGGATTCCTATTGAAATGACTGGATTTCACCCAAAAAAATATGCCGAACAGCAGTAAATGTGGCATACAGCATCTTAACAAGGATGACTGAAGCCTTATTAATTAATAATCCAACCGATTCCAACAGAGTTTGATGATAGCTTGTTGCTAAGCTAACAACATGACACTCCAATCACAATAAAAAGCACAAAAGGCATACTGTACATTTTGGGTAAAATAGTCAGGCAGGCAGTTACTGTGAATTTTTGATACTTTTCAACATTGAATGAAACATACATAGGTTTAACTAGATTTCTAATGCTTCAGCCACCATGTTTACTTGCTTTTAGCAGTGCATTCCGGGATTGTCTTATTTGCAATCGATAGATGCAATGCTGCCCCACTTTGGTCAAAACCAAATGTCGTCCATGTCAGGAGCTTGGATATGATGCCTGTGGAAGCAGCTCACTAGGTTTTGGAACAGAGCAGAAGTGTGTGTGAAACAGATTGATTCATGCTCTATGGATGGAGATCTAAGGACTTGGTCAGATGGTCACGCTTTGCACTAAATAACCAAACAGAAAAGAGCCGCCAGTACGTCACAGACAAAGGGAAGAGAGCGCTCATTGAGAGAGCGAGACGTGATTCAGCAGAAGGAAAGTGAATCATGTCTGGAGTCATGCAGTAGTGAAAGGGTCACTGGGCAAACTGGAGGAAATGTGGCATAACTAAAGAGACAATGGAGATTTTTTGCTGCCTCACAAACTGAGTCAGTAATGCCTCATTGACACTGACTCGTCTTTTTCCAGACACACACAAATACACACCTACACATTTGGAAACAAATGCACAAATTTGATGCTCAGATGGTGTGTGTGTAGGAACAGAAAAGTGACCATGAAAGTTTAATTTTCGGGCATGGTACCATGGTAATAATGTTTTCTTGAAATGTACAATGATAACAAGCATGGTGATTTTTGTAGACACGTGCAGTACTGTGTAAATACCATGGTACGTGAATGTGATAATTCATTACCATGGTATATATCAAAGTACCACAGTGTTACTATGTTTCTTGGCATGATACCATGATGACACTAAAGCCGCGTTTCCACCGCAGGAACTTTTCTCAGGAACTAGGAACTTTGAGGTGCTACTCGGTGTGTTTACACCACAGGAACCAGGGTCTAAAGGCGCTTTTCCACTGCATAGTACGGTACGGTTCGGCTCAGTACGCTTCGACTCGGCGCGGAACAGTTCGGCTCGCTTTGCGTTTCAACTGCAGTAGTACCTCTTCAAAGTGTGTGGGACTGATCGTTATTTGCGCGCGCCTCTACTGCCATGACATCATCTTAAAAGCGCCACATTTTCAAACCCACAACACAGGAACAATGGAGACTATCGAGGGGATGGTGTTCCTGATTCTCGGTATGTGGTTGTTTGTTTTTAACTGCTAGACGGAAAAATGTGTTTAAAATGAGGCTGATGGCAGCAAAACAAAAATACTGCTAAAAAAGTGTCTCGTGTCGCAAATCCAATGACGCTAGTAGTGACGCTGGTAGTGACGATTCTGTCTGACCAATCAGTGATCTGCAGTGTTTCACGTCACATTTTAGTACCGGTATGGTACGCTTGGAACCTCAACAGACCAGGTACCATTTAAAGCGACCCGAAGCGAACCGTACTGTACCGTACCATGCAGTGGAAAAGCACCACAAGTGAGCCGTACCGAACCGCACCGTACCGTACTATGCAGTGGAAAAGCGCCATAAATGAAGTTCCGGGTAAAAAAATGTCCCTTCTGGCGAGGTAGTACTTTTTCAGAGTTCGTTCGTCCCATCCATCTCACGGTCAATGTCCACGGTCAACGTCTACTTTTATATCTAGCATTACGAGCTGTCCGAATACGCTTTGGGCGCTCGTCTCTTTTCTGCTGTTTTGTTAATTTCCTCGTTAGTAAACCAATCACAGAAAAAAAAGCAAAAAAAGTTCCTATGAAAAAAGTTCCTGGTAATTGCGGTGGAAACTTAAGTTATCTGGAAGAATACAATGGTAATACCATGGTATTTTTTAGGGAAATGTGAAGTACTATGTAAATGCTATGGGGTGTGAATATAGCCGCGTTTCCACCACAGGAACTTTGGGGTGGTACTCGGTGTGTTTACACCACAGGAACCAGGGTCTAAATGAAGTTCCGGTTAAAAAATTTCCCCCCCAGAAAATCCCTGCTGGCGAGGTGGTACTTTTTCAGAGTTCAGGAACTTTCGGGGTGGGACTTGTGCGCTGAACAATGCTGATTGGTTCTTACCACGCTATTCTTTCTGCCCAATGGCGCGCGTTCATCCCATCCATCTCACGGTCAATGTCCGCTGATAAAAAAACGTCTACTTTTATATCTAGCATTACGAGCTTTCTGAATACGCTTTTGGTGCTCGTCTCTTTTCTGCCGTTTTGTTAATTACCTCATTAGTAAACCAATCGCACACAAAAGCATCAAAGCTTGAATCTCCTCCATATAAAACTCAAAACAAACGCGCAGGCTAGGAAGAGCAGTCGCACGCAGCTTAACATAATTTTCCCGCCTCGGACCGGTACTTTAGTACGTGGTGTAAACGCAGTAAGCAAGCTTTTTTTTTTCTGGGGAAAAAAAAGTTCCTGTGAAAAAAGTTCCTGGGACAAATAGTTCCTGGTAATTGCGGTGGAAACGTGGCTTAAGGCAGTCATTCAGTACCACAGTATTCCCATTTAAAAAAAGATAACAGTATCCTTGAAGTTTCATTGGGGTATTAGAGAAATACCAGAGTATATAATAATATATGCCATTTACATGATACTCCAGTGATACAAAAAAGCACAAAAAATTACCATAATGTGACATATATTTTTGTGAAGAACATGGTATTCTTGGTGTACCATGTAAATACCCTGGTGCAGGAATTTCAGTACCACATCAGAGTACCCTGGTATTTGATTTTTAACATAGTTTCATGGCAAAAGGTCAGTACCATGGTATGTTTTTTTGACTAGGCACACCATGGAACTCTTTGAAATAGGATTTAATATAAATACCACTGTATATAACTATGATAGTCATACGGTCCCGTAATATACTATAGTATTACCATTGTTTTACCATGTTACCACCACAGAACTTTTTTTAATAGATAAGGGATTCTACAAACATGAAAATGAGTTCTAATGCAGATGAGAGGGTGTATACATATGAGTGTTTGTGTACAATCTGTACATTGATTTCTGTATGTGTGTATATGTCTGTTATATTTATTTAATACTATTTATTTCTCTGGGGTATGACATTATGATGTCACATGTTTTTTTTTTTTTTTCAGAGTACAAAAGAACTTTACTGACTACACTTTGGGTGTGTGTGTGTGTGTGTGTACTGTTACCCCTTGAGGAAAAACCAGAGAGACTGGGAGGATAGCAATTTTTATTCGTCTGTCTGAGCAAAATTTATGACCACTCCATTCTTTCATGTAATCCCACATCCTCTCATCCCTCTCTTCCCCTCTATCTCTCTCTCACGCCTCTCCTCTTCCCTAGCGCTCACCTACTGACACACACACATACACACACACTTATTTCACTATCTAAATGGGAACACTGCCTAGACTTCTATTGTTTTTATGTTAGAAAGGCCCACATCATATTAAGTGACTATGTAGTAAGATTTACATTAATAATTTGAAACAGTGCACTTATTGTGTACATACATATTTAAAAAAAAATAGCCTATGTCAATTTCTGTAATTACACTGTTACACGTTACTTTGTGTACTTACTAACAGTAAATGATGCATAATTACAAGTAACTTACACTAAACCAAACCCTAACCATACTCTATAACTCTATAGTAAGTATATAGTTAATTAATATTACTCAGTACTTACAATGTAACAACGTCACCTTAATATAAAGTGTAACCCATTGTTGACCATTCCACCTTAACCCACCCTTGAACGTCCCCATACCAACAATCTGTCCCTAAACTTAACGGTATCAAAGTTCAAGAGCAGCATAAGTGTTTTGCAATGTGAACACAATAAGTATTGTACAGTCAAACAGTTATTTTTTTTCATAATGGATAATTAATGTAATTTTTACAAGGATGTCCCCATGGGAGGTTTAATCATGTTTAGCTCATTTCTGGGTTCAAATATGTTCCCAAACATGAAAGTACAGACACACGTAGTGTACATACACAAGATAAAAACAAAATGTCACATGTCATACTGACTTATGGCACAAACATCACAGTAAAACATAATCAAATGAACGAAAGTTCAGGCACTTGATGTTTATTTTCCTCGGGCTATGTTTGGGGTAAAATTAAAGGATCAATGATAATTTGTGTTTACCTCTGAGCAACACACCTGCACTGGAGTTATCACGGCACCACCACACCCACACACACACACACACACACACACACACACACACACACACACAGGGGTGTGACGTTCTTTTATGTGCAATTATCACAAATTACGGGAAAACATGAGTGTGGTGAGGGGGAACACTTTCTCTCTCACATAGGCTACACACACACACACACACACACACACATGGCCGAGGACTCAGCGAAATGCGTAATGCAGAGTCCAGTCGGCTTCGGCCCCTAAATGGATGACCACACATCGGCAACAAAGGCCGCATTGTGCGCCTGTGTGTGTGTGTGTGTGTGTGTGTGTGTGTCATCACGTGTCGCTTCACTGAATCAGCGCGAGAGACTGTTTATGCATGTGCGCGACTGTAGTTTCATTTGTTTTACTTTTTAAAGGCCCATTCTCTCATCTCGTGCCATCACGCGTCTGCCTCTATCGTTCAGCCATATGTGGAGCAAGTCTCCACTGCCAATCACGCATTAAATCACTCGCCTGTCATCAGGTCGTCAGCAGCAGCCTATTTAGTCCATCTTTATTGCTCCCTCCATTCCCATTCTGTCTTTTCGCCTTCTTCCGCAGCTCGTCGTCAGTTTTTCTTTCCTATCCTCGTCCAGCCCCCCCTCTCTCTCTCTCTCTCTCTCTCTCTCTCTCCGTGTCGATCACCTGCAGCACATAAAAATTCCTTTTTTCTCTCTCCAGAGGATTGCGCCGCTGCCTAGGGAGTTTCTACATTCCTGTTTCTCTCTCTTTCCGTCTGACTTTGCCTCCTCCTCGATCCTATTATTTTTTTCTCTTGCCGTTCGCTTTGTCTTTCCCTCTCTCACCTGTGGCCCAGCCCTTCCTGTTACCTCACGGCACCCACCACCTGCCGCGCCCCCGCCCGCGCCGTGCCGCGCCACGCCGCGCTTCTTTTGGCTGCAGGGCTGGGCTGACTCTCCCAAAACGCTCGGTGCGGGGGAAACCTAGGGCACAGGTTGACGGATTTATTACCTAATCAATTGATCCTCCCAGATAAGAGTCGGTAACCACAATTTCATTTATGTATGAGAATGATGACTGAGCCCTCGAGGAAAAACTGACTTTAATGTACCGTGGCGTGTTTTAGTGTTATTCAACATGCTTTCAGAAAAGATTATGGATGATTGTTTTGGATTGCCTACAGAGAGTTTGGTGTAGGCCTACGTGTGTGAATGAGGTTGAATGAGTCAAGTGTGTATAAAGTTCCACCTGTGAGCTGCTTATATCTACCGCCTACATATAATGACACTCTGATTTGAAATGCTTTACGTACAAAAATAGTGCCCCTCCAAGGAAGTCTATAATACCTGGAGAATGCATAACGCATTCTCTCACTCAATCAGTCAATTTTATGCTCTCCAGAAACTGAAAGAAAAAGAACCAGGCACTGATAAAACCTCATGCATTTTACTCTGAAATATTAGCCACACAAACGTCTGGGGTCAGCCATTTTCTTTATGTTTTTAAAAGAAGTAGGCCTATAGCTTGTGCATGTTGTAAATATCTATTAACCATTTCATGGCTATAGATCATAGTCTAGATGGGATGTACCCAAAAAGTGAAAGTGAGGAGCATGGGTACAAGTCAGGAAGTGGCCTATTTTACATGTTTCAAGGGTGCTGAGTCCAAAAAAAAAAAAAAAGGTTCCCAAGCGAAATTTTGAGTTTTTTACCTTCTAATTTGCATGTTAAAATGGCCACCAAATTGCTCAGACTTTGGACTATTTTCCT